TGAATGTTCATTTCGGGCTCAACCAGCCAGAAGCTGTGGGCTGTGGGCTGTGGGTGTGGTCATTGTTTTTTAAGGGAACGTTCATTAAAATTGAAAAATGCCACTTTAATGAATTTATTTGCGACACTTAACACAAGTGAAAGCAAACGGAGAGAAATTATGCTCATTAGCATAAAAATGGCGCTTCACCATTCCAGAGGCCATTCTCAAAAACTCCAAGGGCAGAATAAGCATTGACATTGTGGTGAGGTCGACTCGTCGCTCCTCGTTGGCCTGTCTTCGGTGGCTCTGACCTGGCAATTGTCATTACCATTTCGACTGTTGCCAGAGCCGTTAACCTTCAATTGATGACTCAATATGTCACCGAGTTGACAGGTCACGTTGCATCTACCCAACAAGGTTGGCATCTCTACACCCATCCCAGAATGCTCCACAGACTGGCGGCTTCATTATCGTTCGAATAGTTATAATTGAAACTTTCAGCTCATTTCATTGTTTCCATTCTGAAAGGATGGCGAAATGGCTTGTGAGGTAATTTAATTAATGCGAATTTCAGTCATCAGTCCACTGACTGACTGACTAACGGCTTCCATATCCATTCAGGTACATTTCCGTAATTATATTTCGCATTCACGGCCAGAAGTCGAAGTAAAAGTCGTTAAGTTTATTCCACACCTTACTTTATTTTCTTGTGTGTTGAAATTCCTTTGGAAAATTATATCATCGGGACCCAAGTAGACCCTGTAATTGAAACTGTAAACTAGTTGTCACTCCCATGGGTGTGGTGCGATTGCCCCACGTAGCGACGTGAGAGTAGGTCAGATGGGTCAAGAAATCAGGCCACAAGCAATTACATTTGAGTCTCTGTTGCCTGTGCCCTGTGCCCTTTGTTGCACTTTGCTGCCGCTTTGATACATCCGAGATGAGCGGGGATTCCTTGTTGCTGTTGCTGTTTTCGGGGGGTTGCTATTTCAATTGCTTAGGCCCAATGACCAGAGCCAGCAACTTAGCAGCAAATTGCTTAATGCTCCAAGTCTCGTGTTCACCCCGCTCTCCATATTGGACGCTTCTTGCGGTTAATTTTCTACACCTCTCTCTCTCTATCTCACTATCCCACCCTGCCTACGGAATCCCGTTTCCACTTTACACCTCGCAAGCCTGGCTGGAGCTGGCCTCGTGACACGAGCGTGAGTGCAGTGATAGCCTGATATGTGTTTACATCCCGTTAATTGTTGTATGCAAGCAGCTCATGTCTCAGTTCAGCCAATCTCTGCTCCAGTTATCATGCAAATGCTGAAAACATAACTACAAAGTTATTTCATCCCGAATTAGAGTTGAACCCTCATGCTCGCGTGAGCATAAAAGACGCTGCCTTGCGTGATGGACCATCGGCACATTCCATCTCTAAGGCAAAGTCAACAATCACACATGGAACAGAGAAGGAGAACTTTGTTTGAACTTGCAGATTTGAAGCTTTGCTTCAAATGGGAGGCATGCCCGTGAAGTGCAATGGACTCGTGTGAGTGTTTGTGTTTGAGTTGGGGGTGGGGGTGGGGGTGGGGGTGGGGAAAGGGGTAGTGGCAGAGCCTGTCCGTGGGGCTTGTTTAAATGGGGGAATTGCAGTGAAAAGCCTTGACCAGTTGGTTGGCGTTTGCCGGAGCTTAAGCCAAATTGTCTAAGGGGACGTTGAAACAATGGATGAATGATTGGAACTTGAGCTTTGTGTCAACTATTGTTACTTAATTAACAGCAATCAACAAAACACGAGTACATATCTTTGGGAGTTGCTGGGAATTCAAGTAATTATCTATGGGCAAAGTTTTAGTAATTGAAAGTCTGACTATCCAAACCATCTTTCAGTCTATTTAGTATGCTTCATTCCAAAATTTTGGGATAAATAAAACTCATCTTCAACTTCAACTTTCTCGCTACTCTCGTTCAGCTTGGCTTCCTCCAGAATTGGCGTTAGCTCTCCAAGCTCGCCCATCTGCTTGAGCAGCTCCACGATGAAGGGCACGTAGTTGTGGTGACGGCGTGCGTTCTCCACGCTGTATTGACGATTCTTTTCCTTCTCGACACGCAGCCTGTTGAGCAGTTCGTTCAGCTCCGCCTCTCGCTGGGGCTGTGGCAGCTGTAGCGAGTCCCGCTGGAGCTGCTCGATTTGACGCTCGTAGAAGCGCTGCCGGTCCGAGACCAGCGCCATCAGATTGAAGTGGATCTCGTCCGTGCTGTAGCTGTGCATACGCGCTTCAATGATTGGCCGCACAATATCCAGCCAGTTCTGGCCCGGAGCTATCACGGCCAACTCCGTGGGCCCCAGCCGCAGTCCATTCAGCTCGTAGAGCCGCTCGCCTATGGGCATGTAGCTCACAAAGTGGTAGGTGGCTGCTTCAATCTCGTCCTCCTGTGATTCGTTCACAATAAATGTGGGACGGGCCAACGAGTTGTGGGCTGTGCGGATCTTCCGATCGTTGCCGAGGCAGTAGCCGCGACTCAGCGGATCCAAGTTGATGGTTAAATCCCTGAAGCGCGTTAGCATCTCGCCCAGCTCGATGTCCGGGTGCTTCAGGTTGAGCAGCAGACTGAGGATAGAATGCGTGGCGCAGGAGTTCTCGACCACCTGCTTGGCAAAGTAAATGTTTTCATCGAAATTGCTCACCACACGGCCGTCGGGCTGTTCGTCGTGCATCCACTTGAAGAGGAAGATGAGGCCGTGTATCGGCTCCAAGTTATGGAAAATGTTTGCTTCCAGGCTCCAGATCTCCTCCACCTGCGCTCCCACGCAGCCAAAGTCACGTATCAGCTGTGTAAAGACACCGGGATCGCTCTCGATCTCGCACCAGCTGTCATTCTCAGCTTCTACAGTTTCTGTATTCGAGTCCGCTGCCTGAAGGTTTTCCATTCCAGTGGAATCTTCCATTTTGGTTTGCGGATGAATTTTTTGGACCCCCACTAAACAATTTTGAAACTGTGTGACGTTATGTACTACGGTTCTGTCCATGACATATTGATCTACATACTCAGTTTGAATGGAAACATGCTCACAATTATTGTTTTTGGTTTGTTAGTTATGGCAGCTAGAAGCCAATACAGCGTCATCTGGGGGTCATAATGGAGGAGATCCATAAAGAGACTACGCCATCTGGGCATCAGTTTTGGTAGTGGTATAGTATATTTTTAGCATGAATAGGTTTATTTTTGGTATATTTTTGAGGGCTGTGCGGTATATTTTATTGATGCAACCGCTGCCACACTGTTGTGCACTAGTCCCGATGAACAAATGATAACAAAATAATTGAAATCGCCTAATTTGACGATTAATGGAAGCAATGGGGGACCAATTAATACTGGCCACCGGTGGATACGATCACACAATCAAGGTGTGGCAAGCCCATACCGGCAACTGCATCAAAACAATGCGTTTTGTGGAGACATCCGTGAGTGAAGCCCACAAAAAAACCGAAAACGCAAACTGCGACTGCAATTCAATTGAATCATTTAATCTGTAGCAAGTAAACGCGCTGGACCGCACGCCAGACAAGACGCGCCTGGCAGCATGTGGCTATCAGTGCATCCGTCTGTATGATCTGGAATCGAATTGCACCGCTCCGGTGATCAACTTTGATGGCGTGCAGAAGAACGTGACGCGGCTGGGCTTCCAGGAGGATGGCAACTGGATGTTCACCGCCGGCGAGGATCATCATGTGCGCATATGGGACATGATATCGGCACCGCCCCACTGCTCGCGGGTCTTCGACTGCGAGTCGCCAGTGAATGCCGCCTGCTTGCATCCCAATCAGGTGGAGATCGGCATGGGGTCCCAGAACGGCAACGTCTTCCTGTGGGATGTCAAGTCGGAGAAGCACGAGTGCATCGTGCCCGAGGTGGATGCGTCCATTCAGGACGTGGCCATCTCACCCGACGGCCACTACCTCGCGGCGGCCAACAACAAGGGAAACTGCTACATCTGGTCCCTGTGCAGCAGCCCCGACCAGAAGATGAGCACCATGCGGCCCACAAAGAAGATCACAGCGCACAGCCGCTACATTCTGCGCTGTAAGTTCAGCCCCGACTCCCGCCTGCTGCTGACCACCTCCGGCGATGGCACGGCCTGCCTCTGGAAGACCTCGGACTTCAGCAAGTGGCGCGAACTTAGCATTGAGAACTATTGGGTGTGGGATGCGGCATTCAGTGCCGATTCAAAATGGCTCTTCACCGCCTCATCCGACGGTGTGGCGCGCCTGTGGAAGCTGGAGACAAAGACACCCACGCGGGAATACACCGGCCACACCAAGGCCATCACTGCCCTGTCCTTCAAGGATGAGATTATAAGGAAAGTTAATCACTAAATAGAACGTAAGAAAGTCTTTGGTTAAGTCAAGAAAAAGTAGAGCCGCTGCCCAGTCTGATTCTCTCTCTCTCTCTCTCTCTCTCTCTGCATTTAATTTCTGGCAAACAAAACAAATTTCACTCGCTCTTCGATGTCTGTTCTAGTTCTTAAGCTAAATGTTCTTCAAACGATCTAAAATTGCTGCCGATTCGCGCAATTGTTCAACTCTTAATGCAACACCAAACAGAGCGAGACAATCGAGACAATGGGAGTGGCAGAGAGGCAGGCAAACCCTTAGGCTCTGGCAATTTTTGGAGGCAGTTACTCAGCGACCATCCCACACCACCACCAGCATTAACCAGAACTGAACCAAGCATCAAACAACAACACGTCGCCATTCAACGATAGTTCAGCAAACAAAACAAAAAGGAACACAAAAAAACAACCTACAAATTGAGCAAACAAAAAGTAATTGTGAAAACTACCTCTGAAAATGTGCGCTTGGCTTTTGTAGCGACTTTTTCCAACAGATAATTTATAAAAGGGAAACTCTTTGATATATTTATATCATAAATAATGCATTCATTTTGGAATAAAATCCTATCAAATTTACAAAACGAAACCGACCAACGGGGGGGGGTAAAAGACTGGAAAAGGTAACAGGAAATTGATTTGCTTTCTGCTTAAATTTTTAATCCACATAGGCAATGTTTTGGGCCACAATTGACTCTTTAATGGGATCGGGATCGTCGCCCAGTTTATAGCCCACAATGCAGGTGACATCTACGGCCTTGCCGGTGGGATTGAGCAGCAGCATCACCTGATTGATGGGCGTGGCTGGACGAAATGGCTTGTGCGGTGGCATGGCGCTCTCCGTGGGCGGCAGCAGGCGCACCTTGCATGGCTGAAAGTGTGTTCATTGATGAGTGAGGTTCTTGGTTAGTTTATGGAGGATCAATCACCTTCTTGACGCTCGCCTCGAAATGAAAGTCCCGCACAGGCTGACGGCTCTTGTTCTGCGCCGAAATCACAATCACAGAGACACGGTGGCCGGGCCGATCGCTGGTAAAGTTCAAGCTGAGCTGCATATCATCATCGTCGAGCACCACACGCTGCTCGCCGGTTGCTTGGACATTGTCCAACTCGATGCTGATATCGCTGAGATGTGTCTGCTGGGGCGCTGTCTCCTGCTGTGGCTCCTGCTCAACGGTGAGCGGAGCATCGCTTAGCAGGGGAACATCATCAACGAGCTCTGCGGCAGCTGCAGCTGCTACTGCTAGTGGTTGTGTCTGTGTCTGTGTCTGTGCCACCTCGGGTGCCTTTATCTGCATCCTTTCTTTGGCCATATCGTTGAGGGTTACCTTCTCGGGATCACGCTTGAAGCTGCTCATTCTCTCCTGGCTGGGCAATATCTTCTGGAAGAGCTCCTCGCTCAGCACATCAATCTGTGGCATTTTCCGTTCTGTGCCCGGCTTGCGCGAGGAATCCGAACTGGAGCTGCAGCTGGAGCCATTTCCCAGGCCATCGCTGGCCGTGCACTGACTGAGCACCTCAGGCTTCAGCAAGCCAGAGCCGGCTTTCTCAGTCGATTGTTTGGACTCGCTTTCAGCCAAAGCGCTGCTAAAGATGTCGCTCAGATCAGCCAAAGGATCGGCTGTAGCGGGAGCAGAAGCAGAAGTGGAAGTGGAAGCGGAAGCGGAGGCCGTGCAAGTTTTTGCTTTTGCTCCAGCCGCAGCTGCTGGTTCTGCTCCATTTTCAAGGCTGCCAATGAGCAGATCGCCCAGCAGTTCATTGATTAACAATTCGTTGCTGGAACTTGTTGCTGTTGCTGCTGTTGTTGTTGGTGTCTGGCTCTGGGCAGGTGCTGCTCCTGGAGCAGTGTTCTTTGTGGGCGATGGCACAAGCTGGTTATAGCGTTGCATTGTCGTCAGAAGCGCCCCATTGGCATCCAATGTGTCAGCTGCAACAGAGAGAGAGCGAGAGAGAGAGAGAGAAAGAGAGAGATTGAGGAACAGTTGGAAACGGGGGAGACCTGCTGCAGTGGCTTACCTAATAGCTGGGCATCGTTGTCGTCTAGCAGCTGTGTCATATGCTGAAAGATTGGCTTGTGCTTCTTGCACATGATGTAGAGGTCAGTAATGGTCTCGCTGACATCCTTGTTGGAGGGATCGTAGGTGTCCAGCATTTGGTTGAGCAGCTCCATCGTCTTCAGCACCTCGTTGAGTTCCAGCCGATGCTGGGACAGCAGCTCGTTGCGTCGCGCCTCCTGTGCCATGCGGTACTGCAGCAGCAGATTCGCACGCTTGAAGTTCTCCTGATTGTTGCTCTTGATCAGCTTGGCGAACATCGCCTCATCAATGGTGCCCAGCACACTCTCCCGCTTGGCCACCGCCGCCTCTGTCTGGCCATGCTCGATGTCGCCCTCGTTGCGTAGCATGTCGTAGGCGTCGCGTATTTTCTGACGCTGCGGAAACTCGGTGGTCCACAGCAGCAGGCACTCCATAATCCGCTGCTTCACCTCGTGCGGCGTCTCGGAGCCCTTGTACTTCTTCGACACCAGCCGGATCAGTTCGTTGAGGAAGCGAAACTTCCCGGCCTCGTCCTGAAACTCTTCGCCGCACTGAGTCATGCACTCCTCCAGCAGCTGCAAATTGTTTGTACATATCTAATGTTACTTTGGCCAACAATTCTGTTTGCTCGTCTGTACGTCTCTGTCCCTGTCTCTGTCCCGCTCTGGCAATACACATGTACAAAAGTTGATAACAGTTTAAAACCGAACGCAGCAAGCAGCCACACAAGTGCATGCACAGGCGTTTGTGTGTTCGTATGTGTGTGTGTGTATGTCCCCACTTTATGACTGTGTACTGTGTACGGTATGTATGTGGGTGTGCGTGTGAGTAGGCAGATTTTCACGCAGGCCACAGGCCGTAAGCCACAGCCCCGTTAGCCACCCCCACCCCACTCACCGAAATGGCTCGCGTTGCTTCAGTTACGTTTGCCGACCGCACTTTGGCCACAATCATCTCCTGCGCCTTGTGCACCAGATGAACGTGACTGCGTACCACAATGCAAAACATTTGCACGCCCAACTCGTCTACCCTTTCCTTAGCCGGATTTGTTGCTCGATCTGTGGGGTGGCGAAAGATGTGAAAAAGAGAGAGAGATGAGTTGCACGAAAGAACAGTATTTGCATTTGCATTTACCCAGCATTTCCTCCATAATGCTCTCGTCGGTTGTCATTTTACCACTCCGCTTGCAATGGGAATATGCTTTTAACTCGGGAAGTACAATATATGCGGTGAATTTAAACAAAAAACATGATGTTGTTGTTGCGGCCCATTAATGATGACACTTTTAGGTATTAGCGAAAATTTGCGTTATCCACTGTGAGTGGCAAATAATAGTGTACACGAAAAATGCTACTATGCGGTGACTAGCAACTATCCCAAAAACAAATATCGTTGGAAAAGCCAAGTATCGATAAATGCATGCAGTACTGAATAATACAAAGTGCACACACACTTCGATTTGAAGCTCATGTTGCATTGCAACATCAAAGTAATTAAAATGTTTTAAAACACATATCCAAAAACAATTGAATTAAGCACTGATAAGCTACCCAGCACTGAGTCCGCAAATAAAACTTATATCGATACACGCTATTGTTGGCAGCCCTGGTTGTGAAATACAACCATGTAGGCAATGGCGGAAATGATTTCTGCTGGCATTGCCGCACACTGCCGTAACATGTTCTTTTTCAGGCGTTTGCCTTTGCGCTGACATCGTATCTCGATTTCTTCTGTGAAAAAGTAAGGCTTTTTTTTTGTAAAAACTCTGTGGATAAACATTAAATTATAATCAAAGGAACACTGAACGTGATGGCTAACTGTGAACATAGAGGGTTTCGTGAATTAATTGCTGGACAAATGATTAAAAATGCATTGTTCGAAAAATGAGGTTAAATACGGGCGGCATTTTGTTTTTGTGTGTGTGTTGTGTGTATGTGTGTTCGCCACACGTGTTGGTTTCTTTTTTTTATATTTATTTTTTTGTTTCCTGTACACGTCCAAAACTAAAACTATAGCGATGCTTTTGAAGTCGCTGTGGTATTCATTTGGACCAAAATAACATCCATGGTTAACTATTCCTCTTAAGGGTATCGCCTAGAAGATATTAACCTTAATAAAGTCAAAAATCAACAACAACAACAACAGCAGCAGCGCGCGCGCGTGTTTTGTGTGTGTGTGTGTGGTGTAGTCATTGGCATCCTGTGCAAAATCGGGCTAACATTTTGCTCTTTTTTCCACACTTGCAGCATGGCCGAAGTTGCTGAAAACGTGGTGGAAACCTTCGAGGAGCCGGCGGCACCTGTGGAAGCTGAGGCGGCGGAGACCATTCTGGAAACAAATGTGGTGGCCACCACTGAGCTGCCGGAGATCAAGCTCTTCGGACGCTGGTCGTGCGACGATGTGACTGTCAACGACATCTCGCTGCAGGATTACATTTCCGTCAAGGAGAAGTTTGCACGCTACCTTCCCCACTCGGCTGGCCGCTATGCCGCCAAGCGTTTCCGCAAGGCCCAGTGCCCCATTGTGGAGCGCCTGACCTGCTCCCTGATGATGAAGGGACGCAACAACGGCAAGAAGCTGATGGCCTGCCGCATCGTCAAGCACTCGTTCGAGATCATTCATCTGCTGACTGGCGAGAACCCACTGCAGGTAATTCATCAATTTACTCCTCGATTGCCATTTTCTCCCCGCCCCCTGTCACCGTCTCATGCTAAACTGTGTTCAGCGACTCCCCACCTGAACATGGGTAGAATGAGCACGAAGAGTAATCAACCAAAAGTTTTAATATCCTAGTGCTTGAAGATAAATATTCCCTCTTCTTACTCTCTTGGAACTTAAAACTACATTTGCTAACCCATCACTAGATACCCGTGGTATTGTAGCGAGGTTTTGATTTTGACTTCGCTTCCATGGGGTGCAGCAAAACCATAAGTTAACCTGATTTAGCTTCGGGTACTAAATGATAAGGAGAATTCCCGTAACCGATCTTCTACGTTGGAATTATTTCATATTTTAGTTGTGATTGGGTACCGGTAGGATAGCTAAATGCGCTGGGAAGAGAGTCAGGTGGAGTTACGGTCGTGAAGGGAACCCCACCCTAGCTGAGCATCCAATAAAAATGGACTCATATTGAAGAAATGTTTTAATATCCTAGTGCCCGAAGATTAGAAAACCTCTTCTTGCTCTCTTGGAATTTAAAACAACATTTGCAANATTCAATTGGACTAAATCGAAGCCCATGATTTACTATTCCTCTTAAGGGCATTGGCTAGAAGATGCAACCTTAATAAAGTATAAAATCAACACTAACCCATGGCCATCCTATCGATTTACGCGACCCTTCTCTCAGTCCACCTCAATGCCAGCTGAAGGGAACCCCACCCTAGCTGAGCATCCAATAAAAATGGACTCATATTGAAGAAATGTTTTAATATCCTAGTGCCCGAAGATTAGAAAAACCTCTTCTTGCTCTCTTGGAACTTAAAACCACATTTGCAAACCCATCAATACCCATAAAATGTTATGCTCCAAAACTAAAACTGAAGCGAAGGTACCCCACGTCGTTTTGGTATTCAATTGGACTAAATCGAAGCCCATGATTTACTATTCCTCTTAAGGGCATTGGCTAGAAGATGCAACCTTAATAAAGTATAAAATCAACACTAACCCATGGCCATCCTACCGATATACGCGAACCTATTTTTAGTCCACCTCAATGCCAGCTGAAGGGAACCCCATCCCAGCTGAGCATCTAATTATAATGGACTCATATTGAAGAAAGATGTTTTAATATCCTAGTGCCCGAAGATTAGAAAACCTCTTCTTGCTCTCTTGGAATTTAAAACAACATTTGCAAACCCCTAAGTAGATCATCATGGAAGTGTATGCTCCAAAACGAAATCTGTAGAAATGGGACCCCATCCTACCGATATACCTATTTTTAGTCCACCTCAATGCCAGCTGAAGGGAACCCCATCCCAGCTGAGCATCTAATTATAATGGACTCATATTGAAGAAAGATGTTTTAATATCCTAGTGCCCGAAGATTAGAAAACCTCTTCTTGCTCTCTTGGAACTTAAAACAACATTTGTAAACTTTTTTTAAGTGTCGGAGACGCTTGTAGAAGAGTATTAAATTAATGGCAATTTTGTTTTTGTGTCTTTACAGATCCTGGTGAGCGCGATCATCAATTCGGGACCACGTGAAGACTCCACCCGTATTGGACGTGCCGGCACTGTGCGTCGTCAGGCTGTGGATGTGTCGCCTCTGCGTCGCGTCAACCAGGCAAGTGGCAACTCAACTCTCTTCTCTGTCATGCAGCCAGCAGCTATGGCTTGTGGTTCGATTGGCGACTGCTGACTTATAATGCTTGGCCAGATCATACTTCTATCTTATCCGTAGCGTCACAATGTGTAATATAGCCCGACATTTGGCGTATGACCTGAAGAGACATATTCGTTGAATATTCGCTTATTGAAAGCCCAAAGCTAACTGAAATTCTTTCTAACTTATTTTTATAGGCCATCTGGCTGCTGTGCACTGGAGCCCGTGAGGCTGCCTTCAGGAACATCAAAACCATTGCCGAGTGCCTGGCCGATGAGCTGATCAACGCCGCCAAGGTATGCACCATCAACATTCCCATCCCGGAGAACGGGAAAGGGATAGTGATATGAATTATTTGTGTGTGGTCTACTCTGGTGCCAGATTAAAGACTCTGTTCCACCCTGGGCGTAGGCCCACTCATATATTCATTTAGATAGATTATATTATGTCCAATCTAATTCTGCATCATGGTATATTTATGTAGTCTCGCTTTTGGACCAAAGTAAACTCTTTTATTATCCTTGTGCTTGTGGCATTCAACCCAGTCCAACGCACACGAGAAACGTAGAAGAACAAATGGAAATATAATTAAGAATAGGAATATATTGCCATGATTATATCATTTATATTATGTCCAATCTAATTCTGCATCATGGTATATTTATGTAGTCTCGCTTTTGGACCAAAGTAAACTCTTTTATTATCCTTGTGCTTGTGGCATTCAACCCAGTCCAATGCACACGAGAAACGTAAAAGAACAAATTGAAATAAAATTAAGAACAGGAATATATTGCCATGATTATATAATTTATATTATGTCCAATCTAATTCTGCATAATGTTTTATTTATGTAGTCTCGCTTTTGGACCAAAGTAAACTCCCAAATCTTTTATTATCCTTGTGCTTGTGGCAACAAAACCAGTCCAATGCACACGAGAAACGTAGAAGAACAAATTGAAATAAAATTAAGAACAGGAATATATTGCCATGATTATATAATTTATATTATGTCCAATCTAATTCTGCATAATGTTTTATTTATGTAGTCTCGCTTTTGGACCAAAGTAAACTCCCAAATCTTTTATTATCCTTGTGCTTGTGGCAACAAAACCAGTCCAATGCACACGAGAAACGTAAAAGAACATTAGCAAAGCATCAGAATATTTAGTAGATTTGTTTTTGATAATCAACCTTCTATTTAAATCCACTAATAACGCCACTGGCTTGATTTCTCTTTCCAGGGTTCTTCCAATTCTTACGCCATCAAGAAGAAGGATGAGCTGGAGCGTGTCGCCAAGTCCAACCGTTAAGGAGGAGACAGCTACCTACAACCACACAAAAAACAAGCTTGTCTGTTTTTTTTTATAAAAAATAACGTGTGTAATCATTTTACACTAAATTTACAACAAGAAAATAAACATGAAAAAATCCAACCAATAAAAAACAGTGTAAACAACTAATTTAGTTTCCTATCCCATTTTTTGTAAGCAATAAAGCCCAGTAATTAGATGCGCTACATATTCCATTGACAGACAAAATATACATAGGGACATGACCACATTTCAAGCTAGAATGCATGGTGAATGGTGGCTACTTTTATGGACTCTCTTTTAGAAGATTTTGTAGGAAATAAGGTTTTAACAAAATGGGCCAATGCATAAAAGTTCAGCATGCAAGAAATGCAATGTGTACATACAAGAGAGCTACAAACTTACTGCATATATTTGTATTTATTTACGACGACACTTCTGCAGTTGCTGCCTGGGGTACGCATAACGTATGCATTTTTCTCGTATGGAATGACACATCTATATACTGTTTCACAAGAAAAAATACCAGAAATACCACCGATGGAGTTCTCCCCTCTGTATAGAAATTAGTCGAAAAAACAAAACATTTAACAGATTTTATTAACGAAACAGTGCTCCCGTAGTACATGCACTTATAACTCTTTATTGAAATCTTGATTTTTAAATAATTTGTCTTTGTTTACATTCTTCTGCGTGCTCTTGTCGATATATCAACTATCGATATGAGCCAATTGCAATGAATAGGACACGAGTTCAATGGATCCTACTTTTTTTACAATCCATTTCTCAAAATCCGATCCATTAATTCAGGCATCAAAAACGCTGATCAAGTGCGTTCACCAGGATGATTACAAAAAGTTGCTCAAGTTGTACTGGTGAACGCGCCCAATGTATCGAATGAAATCGGCCATCGATATACCATGCACGCTCACCGCTAACATTCCGACCACTTGTCATCTCCTCTGCCGCTAAAAGTGCACCCACTTTCAAAATATTCCTTAATACGGTGCACATGTGGCCTGCTGCACTGTGTTTTGTTCAGAAATAATCTGCACACATCAATTGCAATCGCTAAAGCGAGTGCTCGTGTTGCGCTGTGCTAAAATGTTCAATGTCAATACAAACTTCCCGGAGCCAGAAGTAAACGAAAATCATTCGAACGTCGGCGGCGAAGACGACATTTTGGGCCAACGCTTTAGTCAGTAAGTATGGCACAAGTATTAAAAGATCATTGACAATATTGACACCATACTGCTTGCTGTTTAGGTTCCAAGAGCAAAAGTTAGTGGAAAAGTTTTGCCGCGACTCGCACTTGCTGAAAATAATCGAGGGAACCGTTGCAGCATTTGTGGAGGACTACAGACGCACACGCACACCTGAAAAGCTGTTAACGCCGTTGCTGCTGCGCCTCGACTTTGTCTACACCGATCTGTTGACGCAGGCTCCATCACTGTTGCCGCTCGTTGTTGAGGAGCCGCTGCAGTTTGGCCAAGCGGTTAAGTACTCGGTGTACGGCCTGGTGCGGAATCAACTGAAGGTGGCTGGCCTCAAGCCCATAGACATTGGCCAGTTGCACGCGCAGTGGCGGGTGGTGGGGCTGCCCTTCAGTGCCAGTTTGCTGTACGATCCGGCCGCGCATTCGTTGCGTCTCGGCCTGTCGCTGGTCCAGGGCATTCTTTCGGCGTACACGCCAGCAGAGACACTCGTGTAAGTAAGAGACGGACCTCTATCTCTTTTGCTATGCTACAAATTCTTCTTCCGCGTGTAGCCTGCAATCCACTTGGTACTGCGGCAGCGGGTGCATGCGCAACGCACTGCAGACAAGCGCCACCGATGGTACGTTTAGCTCTACCCATTTCCGCCATGGAATTATCAACTTGCATTGTATCCCATAGCGCCATTGTGCCCCAACTGTTCGCGGCCCATGTGCGAATATCAGAAATTAAGAGTCACGGAAACATATCGCCTGCTAGCCATTCTGCCCAGCTGCACCGTGCAGACGCCGCGCTCTGCTAACCGACTGCATCGGCCTACCATTGTGCGACTTAGAGGTGAGTTATCCGAAGTTGGCCCATCATCCCATCAACTGACACGATATTGGCCCCGTTTTAGCCTATGCCTACACCTGCGACCTGAAGTTGGGAGCCAAATATCTAATCACCGGACATTTTGACGGCTCTTCGAACTACGACTTTGAGGCATGCCATCTAAAAAGCGAATAGGGGCACGCCGCCAGGCTGCGGATGCTGTCCCACTCAATGCTTACTTCAGCAGCAGCGACGAGCCAAATACATCGGGATCGTTGGCTACCCTTGGGTAAGTGTGTGCGCGCCTAGAAAATCAAAGACTCAACCAGTTTTGATCTCTTACAGAACGATCCCATCGAATGGATTCAGCCACATCAGCAATGTTACCCCCATTGTAACACCAAACCCTCAAGACAGTCTCAAGTCTGCTGCTACTTCGCCAGCAATCGCCTGTGGCTCTGGGGCAGTACCTCTGGCAGTTCCGGCTGAATCGGTGCCACCTTCAGGGAACAGCGTACAGCAGTCAGTGGCCAAATGGCTAAGCTCGGTGCCCACTCAAATACAGAACACTTCACAGCAGCAGCTGCTGGTTTGGTCTTCTATCCAGCGCGAGGCTTCACCTCAGCAGGTGGACCCTCCAACGAGTCCCAATTTCAGAGCCTGCAGAACACTGCAACATGAGGACGCAGCCGAGACCGAGGCGAAGTCGCAGCTAAGTGTGTTGCCAGAGGAACCAGCCACAGCCAGAGCCACAGCCACTGGCACACACAATTCGGAGAAAGCAGCAGAAGCCTTATCAAAGTCTACCAATTTGCAGAGCCGCCGCCGTTCCCAACGCCAGAGACGCACCTTTACGGCAAAGGATTTAATGTATTTGGATGCCAAGCAGGATGTGTCCATAGTGGGAAATGTACAGCCGCTACAGCAGCTGCAACCATTAGCAAACAATTATTATTGCAGTGCTCCAGCACCAGCGCGGTCAACGGCCACAGCAACAGCCACAGCCACGGCTGCTGGTCCGAATCCGTTTATTTCAACAGCTAATCCAACATTGGCTACGGATCTAAAGATATTGCCCATAGAAGCACTTTTGATGCCCAAACGGAACGATTTGCAAGAGAATCAGCCACAGACTGCTGATGTGCCGCAGGAGATGGTAAGCCAGCAATCGGCTTATCGGATGGCCAGCCACCCAAGCACTGGGTTGAGAACCACCGACACAGCGCAGAATGCGGCGGATGGCTGCGTCCTACCATCTTCCATATCTGGGCCAAGCCAGGCATCTGTATCCCCCAGTTCTTGGTGTCCACTTTCGGAGCAGGAGTCAAACCAGGAGCCAAATATGACATCGTTCAGCGATCTGCTGCAGCAGCAGTTGATGGAGAACAGCCAATCGATGGACAGCCTTAACATAGATCAGATTGCAAACAGTTCTGCCAACCGGGAGGATGAATGGGAGACGGGTTGGAACCTCAGTCAGGGTGACTTGGCCAGGGATCTAATGTACAGTCGTCCGCTGCTCAATATGGATCTGGAGGATACGCCACCCAACAACAACAAGCGACAATCAACGGAGAAGGCTGACATGCAGCATTCCCTCAACAATGATATTGATATTAAAATCGACGAAGACCCAGACTCAGACGCAGATCCAGGCACAGCTGACAAGCCTTCGACTATGGCACGACATCAGCTCTTTGGCCGCCGTCCAGCGAATGAAACTCACCCCAAGCCAGACCTAAACTTTGTGCCGACAAGCGTGAAGCGGTTGTATCAACTGATATGCTCACAGTACTCGGACTATGCCTTTGTCTATGCATTGAGCGCCCAGCTAAGCCAGGAGTGTGTGCCCATGGATTGTTATGTCTACTTGAAGATGGTGCTGCTGGCCAGCATTGTGTCCATCGAGCCGGACGAGCTGAGGTCCCCCATTCCGCTGTGCATTATTGCCACTGATAGCACCATGGCCAATCGTCTGATGTCCAGTGTGGGTCAGTTTGCTCCGCGTTTCCTGGGACCCCACGAGGGCGGTCTGCAGGCCACACACACGGCACTGCCTGTGCGCTACACTTGGGTGGTGGCCAGTCCCCTGCTGATGGCCCAACAGGGCGTTTACTATGCCGGCGATTGGACGCGCCTGTCACGCGAGCACAGCGAGCAGCTGGAGAAGTCCATAGAGAACGGAACGGTGCCCGTGCCGCAGCTCCAAGGCGAACAGCCACTCGAGGCAGCCATTTGGACGCACTGGCAGCCGGAGAATGCCATCAATCAAACAGTTGCCTTTGCCAAACTGTGCCCGTAAGTGGTTTCGAACCATTGCATAAATAATTCATTGGCACTCTGCACTCTTCGTCTTTGTAGCATCTTTGGCATGCCCATCTATATGGGAGCGGAGGTGAGCGACAGCCTGTGGAGTTTTCTGCGGCAGCAGCACAGTGAGCACGGCCAGGATACATCGCAAGATGCACTGAATATACCCGAAGAGGAATTGCGTATGCTGCTCGGCTTGTTGCACCAGCGGAAGGTAACGTTTGGGGATGCCGCTCAATGTTTGCTGCAAAAGTATTATGTGATATCGCGCAAGGAGCGACCAAGTGAGTGCATCTCCATCTGTGTGTCTATCCTTTTCTAATTGATGAACCTTTTTCTTTCTTGTAGCTGTTTTCTCAAGCAAAACCTACATTGTGCTGAAACAGTTTGCGGAATCATTTGCCAAGCTGGCCATGCGCTTGGAAGTCATCGAAGCGGACGTGATTGTTGCCATTTTCCACTGCGAGCACTTTGTGCAGGCAATCTTTGGTGGCAAAGATGGTTTGCCCGCACCCTCGGTGGAGACGTTCAGTGTGATTTCGCACATCGATCCGTACATGGATGAGTTTACCCGCTGGCTATACAATTACCTCGATCAGCATAGCGAGCAACTGCTGGACATTCACGTTAAGCGCCGCAGAACCGACAGCTGGGAAGACATGCAATAAACAAACTTCCTGCAAACTTCGTCCAAAGTTTCCACTCTATTTACTACAAGTTTTGTCAAACTGCAAACTAACTTCCTAACCAGTCGTTACTAATGTAAAAGTACCTACAAAGAAAACGTTTTACTCCACCCATAAACATATATTACAATCATTTATAATTAATCTAAAGCATACCATTAAATGTTAGCCAACCCATTTGTAGTTGTATTTTTACTTCATTTAAGAGATTTCCCTTTCAGCTTTGAAAACCCTCGCAAGACTTCCCGCCCTATATGATTATTTAGAACTTGTAGAACAATCCATTGGTGTATGCTACACATTTCTTTTTGGTCTTGCTGATTATGTGGTAAATGTAAGCCGGGATGTGGCAACTGTTAGTTCCCGCCACTCTGAGCGGCTTTCATTATGAAGCCATAGATCTGTTCGATAGGGGCAGCAGATTTGTCTTTCATTTGGGTATATTTGGGTTTGAATTACCAGTAAATGTTGCCCACATTTCGAACGTGCTCTTGCACGTAAAGTCAGACACAGTCCGTTCAGCGTTGGCCCCTGGTTTGAGGAATTCTCGCAGCCTCCAGTTGATTCCTTAGTTCCCCAATAAGAGCCCAAAAACACTGGCAGGTTCTGCCACACAATCCTACTGAATATTTCGCACATTTTTATGAATATTATTGCAAAAGTGCACAGGAAAAATGTCTGGGGCAGTGGACACACTGACAGTGAAGCAAACAACACTGACACAAACTTTCAAACGGCTGCGTCAAGTGTGTGCGTGAGACACACCACGTGTGAGACACAATTTCCTGTCGATACTTTTGCAATTGCAACTCTGGCCATCTGTGAACTTATTGTGAATTGGTTAAAACTGAAAAAGCCTTGAACATTCCGTGAAAACTCATTTGTAAGTCAGTATTCAGACGTAAAACTTCAATAAATTGTTGGATAACAAATTCAAATATATATTCCGGTGATTAATACTCCAAAGTTAATCGAAGTTACTGATTGAACCGCCGATTGCCGCGTTTGCGTTTGCGCCTGCGATTCTTAACCCCACAGCTACTAAGACAATTTGAGAGTGTATTTGTATTGAACTAAGCGACTTGCAGCAATGCCGCCCAAGAAAAATAAAGGCGCACGTCGCCGCGGCACAACTTTGTCGCTGCAAGATTTTTTGTTCGGCGATGGGATGGCAACTGCAGAAAACCCAAACCAGAATAAAACAAATCCGTGAGTTTTCCCGAGACCCCCATTCACCCCTTTGGCTGTACATTAAAATGCGCTTTGCAGGTCGAAGAGTAGTACCCCAGCAAATAATAAGACAAAGAAGCCAAAATCAACTGACGCCGAACCGTGAGTGCTGCCCTAGATCTGTACCAAAAGGAATGTGGATTTAAATAGGGTTTTACTTCTACAGGTTGATGGTGACTAGCGAAGAAGCCCGCTTCCGGGATAATTCAACCACAAATGATGAAAAACCAGCCGCCATGTGCGCACTTGGATCCCCTTGCACAAAGATCGTAGAGGAATCAAATCAACTGATACCAATAAATGGAGACATTCAAGCGTGAGTTCCAACTGAGAACCATCCCTATGGGAGTACATTCTAAAGGGGTGTTGTACCTTTACAGGCCGATTGCGACTAATGGATGCTCTGAAACCGATGATAAGCACGTTGTTGCTGCTAGTGGCAGTTCGAACATTGAGCAATTTACTGAAAGTCAGGAACACAATCCAATTGTCGCGCGACTGTCAGAATTGATGGCTCAGATAGAAACTGAAGCTGTTACATACTCAGACCCATACCAGCAACCAACCATGGGGAACACTCGACCCAAACGACAACACAGAGGGCGACGTAGCCATAATAAAAGACGTAGAAGGGGCGGAAGACGCGTATGGGCGGTATCTATGCAGGATGGATTTATGCAAGGGAACGTCCCGCAGCCAAGATCCACATTGCAGACACAATCTCATTTGGAAAACCAGCCTTCATATTTCATCGATGAAAACTATAACATATTTCTCAGGACAAGCGAGACAAGCGAGCCCAGTCAGAGGAAGGGCACAAATATGAGCGTAAGTTACACAAAATTCTAGTGTCACCTCCAGCTGAATGACACCCAAATCTCATGCACATTTACAGGGACGACGACATATGCAGCGATCACATCGTCAGCAGCCTGATATTGAAGAGACTGTGGAAATGGAAAATGCTTTCGACGTGACAACCCCACCGCCACCGCCATCGGCACCTTGGGACTGCCAAGACATAGCCTCGGAACCGGCTTCGTCTTCAGAGTCGTATAATATTTTAGTCGTTCCTGCTAATAATTGTTTGACTGAATCGGGCGGCTTCAACAAGGTGACCATACAAATTCTTGTAACACCTGAACGTATCGATATACCAAAGCATATAAACACATCGTTGGTTCTCTATCATCCGGAAACGGGTGAGATTGCGGCACGTATTGACAATGATAATGTGTCCCACTGCAGTGGAAACAGATTGGAGTGCGAGTGGTTCAACAAGTTGGGTAAGGTGCAGCCCATCCGTATGGAGTTGTGGCATCGACCGGGGCAGGTCTTGCCACAGTTTCTGGTGCCAAAAAGCGAGGGTAATTACATAGCATACTGTCGCATTCCAGGCGAAATGTACTCATTTCAGCCAGTACCCGAAGTCCCAGACTCGGTGATAAATCCAAATCAGGATTATTACTCAAAGCCCGGTACTGGCTTTTACTATCCTCAGCCAGAACAACTTGGACCTGGACAGCAACGAACAGTTGCCGTTCAGCCGCGATTCGACTGCACACAGTCGGCATTCATTTTCAACACAATTTACGCTGAATCAGCTCAAGACCAGAAGCCATTAGTAGACTTAAACAGTCAATCTGTGCCCAATCCATCCGTTCCTGACTTCGTACCACTCTCCGGCGCCCAGACTAACGCACCAACAATCAATCAGCAACCAATCTATACTATAGCCAAAACGATGCCGACTTCGATTATTCCAACGTGGGTTAGTACTACAATTGGTACTCTGGCTCAATCAATCATCACTGAGATACACTGAGATCTTATCCATAAAAAACATTTCATATTACACCTCTTTTGAGGTATCCGAACAAGCACATCTTCTAGTCTATCCGCTCGCTCAGGCCTCTGGAAGTCGACGGCTACAATGCGCAAAAACCAAATCAAATCCAGCCTTGAACTGTTGAATAGAAATATTACTTATAAATACATTAAATAAAGATAGCCAGCCGATGTTATAGTTCATAATTCAACCTAAATAATGTGCCTTAACTAAACAATAAACACTTGAAAAAGTATGTTCAAAACCTCTCCAAATCTTTCGCCGCTTTTGACCATTCTGTGTCGCAGTTCTAGCAGCAAAAGATGTCTGGAGAAATGCTAGATCGAAACCATAAATAATACAAAAAAACAATTGCTTATCTTGATGTTTATCTCTCACAAAAAAACAGGTATTTTTATTAACTAAATATAAATGTTGTACAGTTATTGCTTAAGCTACATAATGTAAGTGTATATGTATATATTTTAGTTGTTTTCTGTTTATTTTTGATTATCCCTTGCAGCTGCCTTGAGCAAAGCGTTCAAAGTTCGGTTTAGTCCTGGACAAAAGGTTTGTCCTCCTCTCTCTCTCTCAACTTAAGGTAAATTCAGGGTTGGGTGTGTGTGTTCCATTTGGCTATTACATTATAGTAGTTGTAATTATTCAAAATGGTTGATAGGATGTACTCATTATGTGTTTCTGATTACACTATGAAATGGCTGTGTCAGTAGCGTTGGGCTTTTTCTTTTCCTTTCCATAAAGTTTGTATTGTATACACATTTCTTTCTATATATACTCTATATACAGGCTATAGAAAAATAGATGTATTATTTCTTAACTAAATAATGACAAATTAAAACCATTACAAGTACATCTTTATGTAGTAAATATAAAGTAGATAAATACATCATCATTATCATTCATATCTAAGCATATATTCCATATAAAAAATACATTTCTTGACTTTGGTCCAGTTTTGAAATCTCGGATTTCGTTAGTTCGCCAAAAGAGTAAAGTTTCTAATTTATGTTGCCAGTCAGGAATCCGCCTGGCTTGAGCTATTTGTTTGTTTGCTGTTGTGGGTCTTACATGGCTAGAGGGTTGAGCCTTCTCTCCTGCTGTTTTGGCCACTGGGCATAAAGTTTCAAGTTAAATTAATTGGGTGCGAATGGCGGGCGCCTAGTAATCCAGATTTCCCTGGGCCCCTGTTATGATGGCATCTATCCAAATGCGCGCCGCTGAATCGGAGGCTGCCTGAAGGTTGTAGCTCCGCTTCTTGGTCTTCACAATAAACGTGCAATGTGGTCGTCCGCTCTTCGATGCATTCAAATGATCCAAATACACCTCGTCTATGGTCTGCAAAGGGGGCATTAATTAGTTGGCTATCAAATTGTTTAAATTTAATGTGGTTTACTCACTGCAAAGTAGGCACCGCCTCTTGGCTTCCTCTCTGATTTGTCCGAGTAGTAGATCAGGGCACTGCGCTGTCTGTCCAGGACAAACCAACGCCTCGACCACGCATGGAACGTGGCCCCCAGCTTGTGTAGATATCTGGGAAACATAAATGTCTGCTGTGAACTTCTGTGTTTAGCTTGGGTTTAGGTTTACTCACCCTCGACAGCTGTGCGCATCGACAAAGACATGCGGACAGAGATCGATCTGGTGGCCAGCGGTCTCAATGTGATGCCTCAGATTGAGATCTGGCGAGAAGATGGGCAGGTAACGGGTCAGGGGGCGCTGATGCTTGGGCAGGACACGCTTCCGTTCGCTGGCAGTGCTGCCGCCGCTGCCACTATTCCCACTGCCACTGCCCGCCGATGCCGTGTCCTGGGAATTGCTGTTGCTGCTCGCCCGCTTGTTTTCGATGGCCGACAATTCCATGCCACCGCTGCTGCTTCCATTTGCAAATTTGGGCGCCTCAATTGTTGCGTCACAATTGTTGGCCTCCGACAGGGGACGCGGACTGCGTGCCATCAACTGTGCTGGTGATCCACTGCCCATCGCAATGGCATGATGCTCCAGCTCCGGCTGTGAGTGGCGTTGCTGCAATGGGAACGGAAATGGAAACCCATAGTTAGAGCTACTATTTATATTCCTATTTATATTTGCAGTCACAAACTAAGACAGAGAACTTGGCTAAGCACTATCCCACATCTACACAATCTGTTCCACGCTCTTGTGAGCGATGCGTAACCTTGCGATTGATGTGATTCACTCACTAGATAATACAATTCCATACGTTGGCGTGCATTCGCATCCGTGCGACGATGCTGTACATAGGTCATCCAGACAGACATGTTGGACTGTGCAATTTCAGAGGCACTTGCTCCTCCAATGGTTATTGGATTCAAACTGCGCGATCTCCGGCACTGGCTACGGCTGCTTCCTTCGCCAATGGCCATTCAAATGAGGCGCGCACGAACATTGTCCAGCAGCAGCAGCAGCAGCAGCAGAGACTCACCAGACTGGCAGGCAGGCAGTCGAGCGTATTGAGATCGAGGTAATTATACTCGAAATGTACCAAAGATTTGTGTGGCCATTGAACGAGGCATAACGATAACTAACAATCCAACGTGCACGGACCAATGTGTAAACAAACATGGTGCAAAGCAAGGTAAAGGGCAATACGTAAACAACCCACAAACAAAAAACAAAAGCAAAAACGCGTAACAAAGTTATTGGCAGAGCAGCAGAAGTTGAAGGAGGTGGGCCATTCCGACTATGGAATACCTGTGCCGCTGATTTATTATTAAATCTTATGCAAATTATGCAACAATGATCAGTCGCAAACCAACTCCAAAAAGTGTAGGAAACATAATTAGGCAAAGAGGTAAAAAAATTTTCAAAATTGCCTTCAGAGCAACCAAAACGTTCTGCTCTGAATTGAAAGCATTTTGCATCACGGTTAGTACAGGGTATCCTAGAGAACATACAAACAAAAAACAACAAGTCGTCGGCAGAAAATATTAAACTTATTAATAAGTGTAGTCCATATAGAATCTGCAATTGAGAGCTAAAGCATTTGCCGATGGCGAATGCCCCATGAGCACTACGGAGGCGGTGCGGTACGGGGGCTGTTTTAAAATAAACACAAGCTAAAATAAAATAGCAAACAAAATGCCGAGGCGGAGAGCAGAAACTCGTGACTAACGAGCTGGCGATAGATTGCCCGTCGACTATGCCATACCTCGCCTCGTGCAGCAGCCTTACAGCATTAATGAAACATTAAGCGGATGGTCGCAGAAGAGTAAGAGTGTCTCTATCTATTTGCTAAGTGAGAGACCCCAAAACCTGAACTTGAATTCATTATAAGAGCGAAAGAGAGAGCGGAATGCCTCGATCAAAATTAAGGTGATTCAGCGCCAGCTCCGATTTACTCAAACATTTACTCATTGACCTATCAATGGATCGTTGGTATAATCCTTTTATTCACTTATTTCCCTTGCTGTCTGGCTGAAACAGCAAGAACTTTATCATAGCACTGAGATATCAGAGTTATCAATTCGCTAACCCCGCCTCGATTGCTGCCAATTTATAAACATGCGAATGGCCATTATTCATGGGTTCACTTTTGAGCAAATGCAGTTTAGCGGGAATTACAATGCCATTATAATCAATTTTTGTATATTTAGGGCCACTCTCTGCTGATGTTGTTGTTTGGACAGGAAAGGAAATTACTCACAGAACGGAAGAGTGGGAAGTGCGGAGTGGGAGGCAAATGCGCCTTTTCCCGGAAGCCACAAACAGAAAAAGATGAACAGAAACCGATGGAAAAGAAAACAACAAGAAATACTTGTGTATAATAAAAGCAAAACAGAAACCATCATTGATGGTGTTGTTTGGCCTAGGTCGTCTTTTTGTGTTATTGGGGGTCAAGTCGTTCAATCACTCCTACCGCTGGCGTCAGACGTTAAGAGTATATATATACATAGGAATTTGTATACCCTTTAAGAGGATATTGTAAAGCCAATAGTCCAGAAGAAATTCTACTTAAAACTCTTTTTTCTATTGACTTCTTATGAACTAGCTCTAAACCCGTAATTTTATAATTTGCTGCAAGTTTTTGGCAAGCGATCCACTGTGCGCGTCATCCATTGCTCTCTTGCTTCCTGCTCTCTGCCTCTTTCTCGCTTCGCCACTCACCTGTTGGGGTGTTGTTGTTGTTGTTGTTGCTGTTGCTGTGGTGGTGGCCGAGGGGCTGCTGCCGATGGACTTTCTGCTCTGACCGCTATTTTCCTTATCGCTGTTTGGATTCTGCTCTTGTTCTTGCTGCTTCTGCTTGCTATCTGCTGCATCCTCCTCGAGGCCGCTGAGCTTTTGCAGTTCCGTTTTCTCAAACAATTTTGCATCTTTGCCGCCGCTGCAGAAAACGAAAAGACAGAGAGAGAGAGAGATAAATAAGTGCACGATTAATGAGTAATTTCTCGTATGGTCTCCGCGTCGTACCAGCATGGAATCATCGCATTTATACGGTGCATTTCTCTAAACGAAATGACTCATTCCCCCGCCAAGCTGATTTCGATTCGTATTCGTATTCGCATTCGATTCGCTCGCAGTGCACGCTCAGTTCCAACCGAAGACTGACTGACTGACTGACTAAGCGGGCGCACACCCCACACCCCAATAAACACGGACACACACACACAGACACACTGGAACACAAGCAGCTGATCAGCTTATCAGCTCAGCTGAAGTGAGTCGTGGAGCCTACATACATATTTATCATATTCTATTTATGGGGTTCGTTTCTTTTTACTCTGCCATTTTTTTCGAGTGTATTTTTTATCAACTCGATAGATAAGATATTGTTTAATTGCTTAAATAATCCCCAAAACAAGCAAAAAATAAAAAAATACAAATCAAATTCCTGTGTAGATATCCCTGCATAATTGCAAAATGCTCAATTAAAGTAATCTCCTTTTTTGTGAATTAAATAGCACAACTTTCACTTGAGTTATGCTATGGATTAATGAATCTAAAAGCTTTTCTAAGTAGGGAAATAATTTGTGGAAATCTGTCAAACGTTTGGGGGCATATCCTTAACCATGAGTCAAAATTGTCCGCGAAAAAGGACAAAACTAATTCAAGTTGGTTTCATTTTAATTAACATACTAATAAAAATAATAAATTAAAATTTGCTGCATATAAATTGGTCATCGATTGCTAGACACATTTATATTATTCTTCGATGCTGGCGAACCCTAATTCCGATGTGCTTTCAACCTTAACTAATCCAACACCCAACAATCTGTGAAACGTTCTGTCCTTTCTCAAAAAACCCAATAGATTGCACATTAAATTGCTAAATATAATAACCAAGAGGTTAAACCAAAATAATTATTGAATTATAATTAAATAAAATGATTCTTCGTTGACTATTCCTTGGAAGTAAACACAAAAACCTTTAACGGCTGAAGCATTCCAAGTGTAATTCCGTCGACAGCTGCTCAGCTAATTAACTCGAAACTTGTAGGAGGGGATTGCTGTTGCCCCTGGCGACCCCTTCAATTAGTTGTTGGCTGGAGATGGGGGTCAAACTCACTTGGCGTCTGCTTCGAACTGTTGGTGCAGCTGCTTCTGCTGGTGCTCTAGTTGTTTCTGCTCCATCGAGTGCTGTGTGGATAGCAGATATTGTGTGCGTGCCTCTGCGTGACATTTCTTCTTGAGGTCATACATCTTTTGTCGCTCATGCTCAATAACCTGATGACCTGAGAAAGAGAGAGAGAGTGAGGAATCAGATCATCATCCATCATGGGATAATAAGGCACTCTTGTCCGTACCCTGCTGGGCCAGCAAAAGTTTCCTGTTTCGTTCGATTTCCTTGAAGCTATCGAAGATCTTGGTACTGGCTCCCTGACTGGTCGAAATTGGTGCATCATTGGCCACCTTGCATATGCGATCGATGTCATCCTGCGAGGGCACGCGACGCTCCAGTGGATTGACCTCGAAGCGATCACTTTGCAGCGACAGATTGTAGCTGATTTGCTCATAGCTGCCGCTGCCACTGCCACTGCCACTGCCACTTGCAGTCGCAACTGAATCCTCATAAAGTTGCAGAGGCATTCGCTTCGGTGTGCTGGTGGTAGCCTCGATCTTGTGGTTGTAGAACATATTCTCATTCACGCTCTTCGACATTAGATCCTCCTGGTGGCGTGCCTTGAGGCAGAGCAGTTCCGCTGATCCAAACAGAGACTGTGACATGACACCGTTGACCAGATTGCTGCCGCTGCTGCCTGGAGAGACTGGGGGACCCGAAGCGCATTTATTTGAGGTGGTGGGCTGCTGCTCTTCGTCATCGGGGCCCAGCTGAATGCGCAAGGCGGCCAGCTCTGACTCAAGCGTGAGGCGTTGCTCCTGACGCTTGAGCTCCTCATGGATGGCATGATGCTCAGACTCCTCTTCAAAGTACTGAAACTCCAGATCCTCGAACGTCTTCCGATCACACTCCAGAGACTCGCACACCAACTGCTGCTCCTCCTTGAGGCAGGCATTATTCGGTTTCTGCTTCAGCATGGCCCGCAGTCTGTAAAACAATTGAATTATGAACAATTCTCTCTCGTTTCCTGTAATCTTCAGTCACTCACTTTTGCATCTGATCCTGTTTCATTTCAATGGACTGTTTTAGCTTTGCCTGCTGATTCTCCTCCATCACGCGTGTGGCATTCCGCTGCGCCTCCAGGCGGCGTATACGATTCTGCAGCGCCTGAAGTTGCAGTCGCGGCGAAAGTGGCGTCACCTGCTGCTGCTCAACCTGCTGCGGTTCCATCTGGGGAAAAGGAAAAGTGTTATCTAATGGAAATTGATTTAAAAGGAAGCAAAACCCACCTCGGGATTATCCTGTGTGCTGCCGCTGGATGGCGGCAGTTCAGCCAGTTCTGTCTTTAGCTGCTTGCGCCGTTGCATGAGCTCTCGGCGATGCCGCTGCTCGATGTGTATGCTGCGCGGCGCCGGCTCCGGCTTGCGGTTGGTTTTGGGCGATTGCGACTCGGCGGGATTCAGATTCAGGGTGAGATTATTGACATTCTTGTTGGTGCGCTTGACCGGCGGCACCAGGCGGTCCAGCTGCTGTTGCTTGCGCTCAAACGACTTGAAGAGCTGCTCATAGTCCCTTTGCTGGTTGGGCGCTGGGGGTTTGGGTGCCAGCGGTGGCTTGACCATCGCTGAAATTGCTCCAGCGGTGTTCTGTGGCGGCGGTGGCGATTGTGTTGTGTTGGTTGCCAGAGCAAAGGCGCTGCCAAAAGAGACATCCTTTTTGGGGGACATGCAGTTGGTTCGTATCTTGGTCCTGGGACTCTGTGGCACATACTTGCCACCGCCACTGATATTCCCCAAATTCTCATGGCTCGAGCGAACCGCTGGGCTGGGGCCAGCTCCTCCACTCCCCACTGTGGCTGCGCTTCCCGATGCAGATGCCGACACGTGCAGCTGCCCATTTATCTCCACGCGATTGGGTCCCAGCAGGCGTACATTCTCATAGCCAGAGGTGCTGCTCAGCAGCGAGAGATTGGTGTTGTTGGTGCCGCTGCTGCCGCTCCCGTTCCCGCCACTGGGCTGCTGTGGGAATGGTGACTTTTTGTCCCGCGGCAGGGAGCCATTTGTCTTGATTCGATTCTGTACAATCGGCGATGAGGTGATGCTGGAGGTGCTCGATGTATTGTGGGAGGCAGCAGGGGGCGCAACTCCAGCAGATGTGTTCCTGTCCGCATACTCCGTGCAGATCTTAAGCATATCCTCCAGCTCAGCGCCTCCACTTCCACTTTGATTTGCACTAGCATTTCCTTTGCCACTTCCATTGTTGATGTCATTGTTGACGCCATTCATGGAGTAGATCTGGAAGCCGCCTGGCTTGGGATATCGATCATAGCGGTCGTTGTTCACCTTAGTAAGCAGATCCGGATGCATTTGTTGTTGTTGATGATGCTTCTGCTGCTGCTGCTGTTGCTGCTGCTGTTGCTCCTGGTAGATGCTCGCATTGGTGGGTACGTTCCAGTAGCCGGAATTGTTCCCGACTCCTGCTCCTTTGGCATATTGATTGTTCATTTGCTTCTCGTTGCGATGATTCTCGGCGAGATTGCGGGCAAAGCTCGCATACTTCTGGCCGAGCACATCCTTGGCGGGCATATTGACGGTGACCAGGTCGGAACTAAAGACCTTCGGGCATTCCAGCTGCTCATATTCACCAGTGGAGTGGACTCCTGTGTGCTTAATGGGATTGATGATGCTCTCGTAGAAGGACTCTAGCTCCAGCGACTGATTCAGCTCGTGGGCCTGTCGCGCGGACTGTGTAAAGTCGATCTGTGGCATGGAAATCCGCTCGTTGGAGCCCATGGCCGAGCGCATCATCTGCGCCTCTGCGGGATTGTTGAAGCGCAAGTAATTCGAATTGCCGATGGTGATCATCGCCCCCTGGCTGAGTTTCGTCTCCTCCAGTATGGGGGCGCCGTCGATGAGCAGTCGCGCTTCCTGCTCCGGCACCAGGGTCACCTCGTTGTCGTCGCTCCTGAAGATGGTGCAGTGCAGCGGCCGAACACCGCTTCCATTTAACGAGATGCTACACGTACCCGCCGATCCAATGGTCGTATCCCCTGGGCAAACAAGAAAACAACAAGGAAATCCAATAAGCAAAAGAATCCCAAGCAAAAAATGTGTAAAGATTTTCGTTCGGAGTTCTAATTGGGAATGTGAGGTTCGGATCTCTCCATTCCATCCATTCTCCCGGCCCTCGTGTCTTGGGTCTTATCGCTCACGCCATCTCTGTCGAACTCGCGGTGCCCCGCATGAGGCCCGAAATATTACTCACAGTGGGCGCACATCGCAAAAAACTGTACAGAAATTAACCTAATCACAGTACCGATCAATGGAATGTTTTTTTTGTGTAGTTATTGAACTGTTCGTCCCACTGTCAGCTGACAAGCAAACAACCAAAATCACCGTTTACTTTGCCTTCGCTTGTTTTGGTTGTTGTCTTTTGTGCGTTTTCTTTCGCAATTCGTTTCTTCCCCCGTTTCTTTCGCTACTTTGCTTATCGCTTTACAAGTGACCTTGCACAGACACAGGGAGAGAGAGCGCACGCGTGCGTGCCCAAGTTTGCTCCACGCACAACAGAAAGACAGAGATGGAGAGTGGATTAACGGTGTTTGTCCAGTGTGTGCTTTTAATTGCATGATGAATACTGTTCGTATGTACGCTTTATATACATACATCTGTATGTAGATGACTTACCAATGTGTATGTAGTGTAAGGTCACGGCGGTACTCAAGCGACCACCGCCCAGACTAACCAGATGCGGATCGGAGGCGGCAACACGCAGCGATGGATCCTTTTTCGTCAATGACATCTGTAAGTATAGAAAATGTAAATTGATGTAGAATCTATGTATGTATGTACATTGTGGCATATGTGGAGCCGAATCATTGAGAGCTAATGGCCCCATGGCCCCTAATCAATCACCAATAAAAATACGCATTAAAAATGTGGCATTTGATAAAGGCAAACATACACAGGTGTGGCTTGCTGCACACACTTATACAGATTCCCTTACAGGAAAAGTCGGAAACGCTGCCTTCTGTGCGTTGCCTACATCGACTTCGAGCACAAATCAAATATAAACCTTTTACTCAATCGGAAAACAGAGCCACAGTCCAATTGCAGCATAAACACCCAAGAGCGGTCGAGGCAGAAGCCCACCACTTCACGATAATCATTATCAACAATATAATCATCCTCATCCAGTGGAGAATGATAATTGCTATTCTCCAGCTATGGTGGAAGGAAGCATCAACAGATACTTGTGCAAATCCTTATGTTAAACCAGAGCAACCAGGACAGGATGTTTACAGCCCATATCCCAGCAGTTATGTATATTAAATGCATTCCACACTGAACACAAAGTCATTCCCTATTTATTCTAAGCTAAGCGGAACAACATCTTCTAGTTCTTCGAAAAAAATAAATCACTACACATACATACATACATATGTACTTATGTATGTACATAGTTCGGTCTGTAAAAAGCTTTATTGCCCCACTGCTTACTTTATGTCCATAAATTCTTGAGCTGTCGTTGTTTGTTGATTTTTGTTGTTGTTGCGAGTGCAACTTTATCAGTTACAAGTGCGTACAGCCACTGTGTGGCACCAATTGAGGATGTCGGGTCGGTCAGTCACCAAATACATTCATACATACGTACATACATTCATATGACATCATTGGTTGGGAAGTTTGTAAATAAATAAAATAATTCCTTGAGCAATTGCATCGCTTCAGGAAACTGATTGAAAATTACAACAAAAAAAAAGTATCTCGTTGCGTGTATGGCATGCAACAGTGTTTTTAATGTAGATATGTACATACATACGGATACATCAGAAATATAAATCAGAACTGTATCTTCCTTAAATGTATTTTATATCTTTTAAAAATAAAGTAATCAAAGTACTGCACAAGGTGTGTAATGTACATATTTAGTGTTATCGTTCCCGTTGACCATTTCAGCACTTTCGCTTTCTGTCTAGACTCTGGATCAAGATCGTGACTCCTCTGTCGGCCCACCTGAATCCCCCCAATCAACACAAACATCCACCATCCACACAGCTGCCCCATCGAGCGGTGATTACACTAAAAATATTACGAAATTCACTTTTACCGCCTTCTATAGCTTTTTCTTTTATTTTCCTTTATTTTTATTTTCTTTCCTGTCTCGTTTTTTGCTTTGCTTTGGAAGTGCCTGGGCATCACGTCATCCCATGAGCCGGCTGGAGCTAGAGTCTGACTAGGCACATAAAAACAACACAAGCATGTAGTAACTCTGTGAGTCGCGTTCATACGCGTCACTAATTGAATACCCGGTACTCAGTCAGTATACAAAAACACTTTTAACAGTGTGAAATCAGAGCAGTTTGGATATACCCTATGAGTACCGGGAGTAAAACACATCAAAACGATCAAAAAGATCACAAGAAGAAAAGAAAAGGGAAAACAAAAACACAGCGGAATGGGCTGGAAACGGTGATGCATGGCTGGAAGGTGATGTGATGTGAGGGCAAACACGAACCGATCACAGAAATAAGCTAGCACGATGGGGACACGCAGACCGCCCTGCTCCCGTGAATCAGAATTTCGAGGGGGAAGTACTGGAATCTAGAGTGCAGATCCATACATTAGTGAACCATTAGTGGCAGAGATGAAAACATTTCTGGATATGCCATAACCCCTGTTTATCATCTGTAATTTTGATGCAAGGCTCATCGACTGATGCATAGATTTGAGCGGATTTTTCCTGCATGCGAATTGTTGAGAATTTTTCAATGCCTGCTCCTAAGACTGCTGCCAAAGGGAACAATATATCTTTTACGATTCCTCAATTGCTTTTTTTTTAACGGCCTAAACAACAACTACAAAAATGTGTATGTATATATAGGTTTGGGTGTACATATTTCAAATATTATTGAGATAAGATAAAAGCCAATGAAAATCATAGAAAAGGGGCCACAGATATGCACAGTACAGCTGCGGCATACCAATGTGCGTAGGCCCCTCCATTATGTAAAGGGTCCGGGCCACGCTCTGCGATAAAATTGAAAAGCAACAACAAACAGCACACTGGAATACCGCAGCGCAACATTCGTCAAAATGACACGAGTACGGGGCATAATGGGAAGATCTGATGGGAATAAGAGTGTCTTCGACTTCCACAATGTAGTATTTCCCTTGTCTCCAGAACACTCTACCGTGGTGATGCCTTCCATAAATGATTTGCCTTTAGAGTCGGTGTCTACACCAACGATTAATATTGCCAATTTCAAGTTAACTTATTTTTAGAGGCCAAACACAGCTGGTACTGCCAGCATTCGGTCGAAGCCTCGAGTATTCCCTGATGGATTGATGGATACAATAAATGGAAAACACTGAAAGCAGATGCTGAGGAGGCTCTGCAAGGTGCAATAGCCCAGGCCCAACTGCCAATATTTGTAGAGAGACAGAGATAGAGAGATAGCTCCCTCATCGCTAATTGAATTTTGCTGTTTTCTGGGTGTCGCTTGAAACCCATGTGGCGTGTAGGGGCTGGCTCTTGGTCTTGCCTTCTGGCTGTTTGACACCACAAACCAAAGTGCGCGATCAAAATGAACTTAAGTGTTGGAAAATGTCACAAAAAGTGCACTCAAAAATATGCAGGATTAATTTTTCCTATTTTATACAGAGAATTTCAAGTTGTCATACACAACTTTTATCGGTACAAAACAAACGTGACCTGTGCAAGGTGCTTAGGAAATGCGAGACAACTCTCTCGCCCCCAACGCCTTTTTGCAATGTATAGCGTTTACCTGTAGCTTATGTAAATGCAAAAATGTATATTTATATTACATATATTTATTTATTTTTCGACGTGACAAGACCTTTGCGGTAACATCAAATGCTCTAAATGTTTGTGTGGGGAAAACAAAATGTGGAACACATTGAAAAATGGCTTGTACCTGGGGCATGGCACACATTTGGGGCACAATTACGAACAATTTTGCGCTCAAACAGACCAGACCCCAGACATATGTATGTGCATACATACACAGATAGATAATTATGTATGCTAACCGAAATAAGCATTATTATTTTTTATTTTCTTTTTGGCAAATTGTGAATTAAATTAGACCCCCAGAGCGTGGCCAAAGCACACAGACAGTAGAAGAGATACCCTTTCCGTTTGATATTCGATATTGATAGTCAAGTTTCGTAATGGCAGAGGACTCATCTGATAAGGATTATTTCCTCTCTATGTGGCATCAAAACATTCACCTCAAAGGGTATCCCATATGTACATACCAAACAGAAATGAAAGAAATGACAAACAACTTACAAAAACTTATGTATAAGGCAAGGTCAGTCTGCATTGCACAGCTACGTGCGTCAGGTGTGGCGTGGTCTGGTGTGGCTGGTGGGCGTGGGCCTGCCATGCATAACAACATGCAGCCCAATTTTGGCACCGCTGCACCTTCGGCACTGCACCACCGCCATGACAGCAGGCGGTGCGCTGAATAAAGTGTGAAAATTATCATGGGTTTATTTTACCTGCCCCAAATTATAAGAGTCCACAATTGTTAATGGGGTGGCATGCCACTTAATACAGTGGTGGCTGATAACTCCACTCAACAAAAATTCTATGGCGGGTTAATGTGGCAGCGTCCATATCTGTTCCTCTTTCAAGAGTCATTATTTCCAGCAACTTATTACGATTGAAAGCTTCTGGATCTCTGGCACTAGTCCAAGGCTCTAAGGCTCTTTTTTGTAACTATTTTCAACGAGTGTTTGGAATAAAAACATAAAAATACACACCTAATTCCTATTCTGTATTATTTTCATAAAGTGGGTACATACACATGTACCTAGCCACGCGTGAAGCGAGCCATGGATAACGGCAAATTGTGGGCGCCACTTGTAACTGTCAAAAAGCCACCAACATTCAAATTGAATCCAACGTCAGCCTCCATAGAGATGGGCGAATGAGCGAAAAGCGAGCCGTGAAGCGGATAACGGGAATCATGCAAGTCACGAACAAAATTTGATGGGGAGGGAGCTTGAGCGAGGGTGTTACATATCTCTACACTGAGAGAAACTCGAACAATTCTAATAGGGTGTATGTGCATCCCTAAAGGTCCGATTAGAATTCGTCAATGTTTTTTTTTTCGCAGTGTACACTGCACACTTTTTCATCTTTCACATTTCTACAATTAATAAAATTTGGAGAGTTTACAAATTGAGACGGAAACACGCTCTAGTGTACGCCAACACAGATGTGATCACACACACACTTGCCCCCATTCCTGGGTCACTCTCATCTCTAGGCCTGGCGTTGGTGTTTAGGGTATGAGTATGAGTATGGGATATGGGGTATGGGGTATGGGGTATGGGGTTAGGCGCTGTGAGTCAAGTGGCTTGTTAATTATGCTCATCACTTGAAGAGAACTGCCCAAAAATGGGGAGAAATTGGTAGAGGTGCTGAGTAGAGGTTTACGCCGATTGTGTTAGCTTGGGCGGCGACATGGGGGAATCTTATGATCCACTGAGGCAATGGATTCAAACATCAAACTACTTTTCGTCCACTTCACCTTAAATTTGAGTTTCTTTTTTAAGGTATGTACATAAATTATATGAAGAGGCGAAAAGTCGTATTAACACACAATTTCCAACAATTCTCAGCTGCTTGACTCAATTCCTGCCACTCCCCAATTGCCATTCCTTTACATTCCTCGTTCCAAATGAGTTCAATTGAAGTAATCAATGGGACAATGGCACATCATTTATGGGTCGTTTAGTTGAGGTAATGGAGCAAGGGGGCAGGGCAGCGGGACAGGGCGCGAGCTAAAGTGTAATGCAAATGCAAACAAATGCGTGATGTCATCCCAAAACCCCCACAAAGGCACACACATCGAACAACCGTCCAAAGCAATTGCATTTAAATGACATCAAAACAGAGAGAGCCACAATCACAGCAGGCTGCTTCCGACAATGCAACTTAAAAACGGCACATTGTACCCTGCCCGAGCGCGACTGACTTTACAGTTGTTTACAGTATGGAAAGGACTTTCAAACCTGAAGCTGATAATATTTGCCAGTCAAAAACTAGTCCGAAAAGCAAAAGATAATGCTAAATAATAAAAACATCCGTTTGTATGAAAAGAATAATTTAGATTTGCATGTTTACGAGTATATGAAATCATGGATAAGGTATGGACACATTTCCAGATGTGACATTCTTGTTATTTACAAGTTTCTCTCTCTTATGGCTGTCATTGCTCGGACAATGTATGCGTGTGTGTGGTGCGCCTGTGTGTTTGTGACTTTGAGTAAAGTAAAGTAAAGTGGAAACAAAAACTTGATTTGACTCTGGGGATGACTTCATTAATGGAACACGCAACAGAAAAAGCGAGAGCTTTATTACACTGGCGCTCACTTGAATAGGAACACCGTTTTTGATTTGCACTCTTTGATTTTTCATCCTGGTTTTTATTTTGCCTTCAAAGTACCGTTCAACAAGCATAGCTTACAAAAAAATATAAAACAGAAACGATTATGGTCTAATGATTAGACCATTGTACATATATCAATCGACATATTCCTGTGTGGTTTGTGCTTGTGTTTAGTTAATATAATTATTATTTTATGCAGCTGGCGGCGGTAGGTGACCTCCGAAAATGGCTAATGTTACCAGACACTTGATTTAGCTTATTGATTCAATTAAATTGAACTCGGCGAAATGTGTACAATTAAGAGGCAAGATGAAGGCCATTCCAGTCCCACGCATTGTGCGTACTGCACACCCCACCCCCTCGCATCCACCACGGAGCAGAAACTGGAGTCGCAGTTGCCGGTTTGTTGAACTCTTTGCCGCAATAAAAAGGGCAGCAGTGAGCTGCGAGTTTTAATGCCGCATACTTGCTCGAAGAAAAATGCGGAGGAGGGTATACCGTTTTGTGGACAGAGGATGAAAGGAGAGGCTATTTTTTGCTGCAAAATGTCTTAAGGAAGGAACATTATCAGAGTGAAACTGAAGATGCAAAAAGCTGAAGAGTAAACCACATGTACACAGATATAAGACGGCTTCTCTATTCCCACATATGCACAAAAATCACCCAGGGTATCAAGGGTATCTGGTAGTCGCGTTGTTCGCTTCTGCTTCGTTTTTGCACAGAAGAGAACACAACGAAACGAAACGAAACAAAGCGGAATGGAGTGTTTCGTGTTAGTTGGTTCTTTGATGCGTTTGGATGGATGGCCGGAAAACGGAAGCGCCTGTTTTGGTATTGTTTATTATTGTCTGCATTTTATGCTGTGCGGCTGCTGCTGCTGTCCATTGTACAAATTATGAATGTGCGTTTATGGTTATGTGAATGGGTATGAGTAAGGGTTAGGGGCATGTGGAATAGGCTATCCAAGTGGAGAAATAGGACAGACACAAGCACACAGCCAGAAATAGAGAGAGGCAGTAAAATGAGAGCGACAAAGGTGTCGTCGCTCGACTATCGCCATGGCATGCAGACACACGATCGCACACCCCAGTACGTTCGCATGCAAGCATACATATGTCCATTCATCATTCACAGACACACACACGCACACACACACACACACACACACACACAGAGGCAGCATTAAAGATCAGCAGCGACGGTGACAAAGTGCGTCCGGTTTACAAAAACAAAAACAAAAACGTGTCGGATGCAAATGTGCGAAGCGCTGGAGAAGCAAAAGAGTACAGACAAAAAGCGAACTCTCATCGAAATGCAGGCGATGTGGGGATTTGGGGGGAAAAACAATATTAGCAATGCTGGTGTGCGGCCCCTTTCACCCAGAGAATGAAACGTGGGAAGCTAGGGATGCAGCTGCACTGTTGTAAAAAAAAACCGAAGCGATGAGGAACGTTGTGAGACGCGTTCGTACTTTTATACCCGTTGAGCAACTGAACAATTGAGTGAGTTTGTTCACTAAAGTGAACAATATTTACCCAACACTAATGTATATTGACTGAGTACTGGGTATAAAAGTTCCTCCTCGTTTTGTATGCTGTTGCCGTTGCTATTCTTTTTTTCTATGAGTATTTTCCTGCAGTAAATAAACTTGCTGAAATCCGAAGACTCGACTTTAATTTAAGACTTTTTGGCAGACTCATGAAACTGAATTCAGGGGAATTAAGCAAGTGCTCGGTACCCCATATTTGTTGCAGCTGAAATTCGATGATGGAAGAGTTGTTCAGAAATCCTCATCCGTCATGCGCTTGAGGCATTTAATGGTCTGCAATAATTAAAGTTCCATGGAAAGCCCACACAGCGAGTGGATGAAAACGGAAAGGCAGTCTGGTCTGGAGTCAAATTAAACAAAGGATCCCAATGTGTATGAAGAAACAGGCAGTGGATACATAGTAGATTCAGTCTTCAACTTAATTTCGCCTGTTTAAGCAAACTGTTTGCTCTGAATGTGCCATGCAACACAACACACACACACACACACACACTCATCAGCAATGTCGTCTCGTCTCCCCTGTTGTCATTATTTCTTTATGCAGCGGATGGTCGTTTTCTTTTGGCAATAATACTCGTGGTGTTCTCCGTTTGCAATCAAACAATGTTGATGTTTATACGAGCTGCCTGTTGATGGGGAATACGACAATGTTGAGTGGTGTTATGGCAACGGCGCCTCTCTACTCCACCTCCTGTTTATCACACATCCACACACACACACACATATGAAACAATTTCAAATGAAATCAAATATAAATACATGTGCACAAGTGTTCACGTGTGGGCTGGACACTCATTTCTTTGGGTAAAATCTGTTGCCCACAGCTAACAAAACAAAAGCAATACACATTTGTTCGCTGAATAAGACGGCTAAAACAACAAACTAATTTAAGGCAATAGCAACTATCGGTTTTGGAAGCCAAAAGCCAATAAAAAGGAACGCTGTGCACGATGTGACGACTTTAATGATATCCTACAATCCACGAGGCAAACAAAACCCTGTGAACATATGCTTCTTGTGGCTTGTGGAAGGAAATCGAACGTGGTGGAACCTAGGATAGTGGGCATTGGCAATGCTATTGGAAAGCTCTCTTTTACAATTTAATGATTCTTCCCCAGGTCGGCCTTAAGCCGACTCTTTTTTCCCATTGATTGGATGCTAATGTGGATTATATTGATTTGGAACTGTGTGTGGGGGATGTTCAGTTATCTTTGTATGGAATGGTTCTGCTTGAGTGGATTCAAATAGGAGTGCATCTCCTTGCCGGTAAAGGTTATGCACCGGTTCACAGTTAGTTGCAGCCACACCCCAAAAAAAAAGCAGTAACGGGAAAACAACAGCAAAGAGAGAGACAAAGACAGAGCAGGGAGAGAGAGCACAAGTAACTGCACCTGAACTTTCGCAAATCCCTCCTTTTGCGTCTTCTACTACTTTGCCCATCGAGAGTCCTTCTCTCGCTAACTCCATCAGACTCTCCCCCTCAACACCCACCCTTCGGTACAGTTGTAAAGACAAGAGACGTGCTCAATACGTACCGCGACAGTGACTGACCCACTCACTTGAGAACTGTCTGCCAATCCCTCTCTCGCTCCCGCTCTCTCACTCACTGGGTCTCCTCTGCAGCTTGCTCGCTTCGCTTTGTTCCCCTCTCTCCACATTCCACACAAGCTACGGTGTCGTCTCACCTTCCTACAGTTCCCCTACCGATCGACAATGTCTGGGCTGCTTTTTATGGAAACCGGCTAAATTCCATTTGATTTGGAAGTCAAGACAGAGCCAAAGCTGTAGATGTGCCAAAGCCGAAAGCCTTCTCTCGCCTTGCCTTTTTTATGCCTTTCTTTCTTCTTTTTCGTTTCCACTGTTTTTCACTTAAGCGTCACAGCTCTGCTTCTGCGGCTACGAGTGCGTGCTGCTTGAGTTTCAGCAGCGCAGCAGCAGCACTGCATCTCCCCGAAGTTGGCAGCTGTCAAGGGCGTTTCATTTTCTTGTTGTGGCGGGTGTGTGGCCAGTGGAGGGGGATAAGGGACAGTGGAAATACCGTTGTCAGTTCAATTACAAAATTTAAATTATTTAAAGCAACGCGGGAACTGGTGTCAAGATATTTATATGCAAATTATAGTCGCATCCCATACCTTCTTCCTACGGGTTTTGGCCGCCGCTTCCACCCTCAGCTGTTGCTGCTCTAAAACTGCTTCTGGCTGAGCTGCTTTCGTTTTGTTGTAGTTTTAATTCTTTAATTGTTTCTACAATGGAAATTACAAATGCAATCAGTACAAAAAGTATTTTATTAATTTGCATTCAACAATATAAAAAAAGTCGCGCGCAAACAAACGGACGCACACACACACACACACAAACACAATCGCAGGCAAAAAACAAGTTTATTTGCTGCACCAAAAGCAAACCGCAAAACACGGGGAAATTCAACAAAACTGTGGACGCACAGCATCCATACGCACTTAGAATTCAGGTTGACAGCCCGGCATTGTAGCATCGAATAGATAACGTAAAAAACAAGAGAAAAAAAACTGAAATTGTGCATGGAACAAATGTAAATAAACACAGACAGACGCCGCCGAAACAATACAGAGCGTTGTACCCAGTGTGACCGCGGATTTATGGATAATTATACCGTCTGACCCTTTAAAATATACCAAAATATGCATGCTATTTTCAAAATGTACCGCACATATACGTGGAAAAATCAGATTCCTCAATTTTGTTGTTCTTTTTACTATCAAAAGATATTTAGGACACTCACAAATGAACTTTTACTATTATCCGATTTTTGAATTAATTTTCTATACGGTTGGCTAGAGGTTCTCTCCTTTGTTGTGCTTATAAAAAAAGTTGTAAGCTAAAGAGATACGTCATTTTTTTACATAGGAACTACACGGTACCACAACTACTAACAATTGGATGGAGCAATTCCGGGTCAAAGGGACTAAACCAAGTCATATCATTTAAAAAATGAAAATCGTCCAAAAACTATTTTAACCAGCTCTGCCAGTGAGCTTTGTCAAAGAGATTTTAGACCATGCATCGTATGCCCTTAGAGCTTTCACGTATATGAGGCAGCATATTGCATTCATAGATCAGAGCGAGAATAGAATGAGAGATACATAACTGGAAAGTTCCAAGCCCATGAATTACCGAAAATATCCAAAACGGTTTGATATTCTGTGTATCAGGCTCATTTTTGCTTTTCATGTATGAGCCGAAAACTAGCCCAGAAATATACCAAAATATACCCTTTAGTAACCACACTTCAAACGTTGCACAGCACTGGCAATAAATGGCGCATTTTTCATAAAAAAATCACACACTGAAAACTGAAATGCCGCCGAAGCGCAAAAAAGCGAATGTAAGTTTATTTATTGTGTATTTTAAGTTACCCAAACACCCAAATATTTACTCATTTCCATTTCGCAGCAGAAGGCCACAGCTGTGCCTGGTCTTGAGGCGGCAGCCCTTGATCCCTCGCGGCCTGTCCTCTACATCGAACACTGCCGCTCCTGACGCGTCTTCCGTCGTCGGGCCGAAGAGCTGCACGCGGCACTGCAAGAGCGCGGTCTCCAGCAGCTGCAGCTTCAGCTGAACGTGGAAGGGACGTCTCGCCGCGGTGCGTTCGAGCTGCACTTGGCCAAGCAGCCAACAACGGAGGCGAGTGAGCAGCAGTCGCTTTGGTCTGGCCTCAAGCGTACTCCGCGTGCTCAAAAGTTTCCCCCTGTCGACGATGTGTTCAGGTGGATTGTGGAGATTCTTGGCCCGGTGGCAGATGAGCCAAAGCCGAGGCAGACAGAGGAGGCACCTGCACCGAAGCAGACTCAAAAGCGCAAGCGCTCTGCCAAACCAGAGCTGGCGGCAAATGTCTCCAATGGAGAGCAGAATACATCCCCCAGCCAGGCTAAGCGAAGGAAGTGAATCCCCATGACTACTGGCAGTAGAGCACCATGAACGATGAACGGCAAATCCCAACTGGAACCGATCATTGTGAAGCCCCCCGAGGTTGCCTTTGCCAGCATTACCATTACCAGATTCAACCTAAACACACGCTCAATTGTTATTAAAAAATATATTAAAACATCTTAGAAACCTAATTCTCTGTTTGCCATTTTCGTATTGTAAATCATGTCCGCTCCGCACCGATCCGATCCGTTCCGTTCCGATCTTTATGACTCAGTTTTAATTTTTTATTCGAATTATTTTTGCTTGATTATCAAAATTTGCACAATTTGGATTTCCTTTCGTCGCTTTTGATGCATTTAATTTTTATTTTCACTTTCGCTTTAATTGGTTTTGTTTTGTTTCCTTTTTTTTATGCTCTTAAGTTTTAAGATCCTAGAGAAAAATTTTGGTTTGCGAAATCGAGTTGCTGTCCACCAACCTACCTCACACTTGCCTAAAGTACATTACAAATCATTTCATATGTCAATTTTCGTGTTGTCTTCGTTTTCAGCAATGATCAAATAAGCCTTATAAAGGCTCCAAAATGGCAGAGAAACCGTCCGAGTTTGTGAGTAAGAACTCGAGACTCTCTAGCGATGCGTTCGAGGAGGGGTAATGTATAGTGGAACAGGCAGACAGACAGACGTTAGTGTATATTGCATGTGTAGGAATACAAACAATTAATTGGCTATGGGAACGTAAAGTTAAAACAGACGACAACACATTGGAACTGAATTTGCTACGGCCGCTGTCTCTGTCTCTGCCTCTAGTCCTAGTCCTAGTCCGTGGTCCATTTGCATTTGATTCTTTCGGTCTCTTGGGTTTGGGGTTTGGGGCTTGGGTTTTGGGTTTTGGGCTTCTGCTGCTGCTCTTCGTTTTCAAATAAGGAACTAATAAGCTATGGACTTAAGCTAGATTTAAATTAGGTGCAAGAAAAAACAAAAAGATGTAGATTAGGCGGCAGATATCCGTATAGAAAAACAATGCACAAAAAAAAACACACACACAGCTACATCAACGTGTTAAAAATACACAAAAATAGTTGGGGCTTGCAGAGCGAAGAGGTGGATTGGGTGCAAGGCAGGTAATATAGGGATCGGTAGTTGGGCAGATGGGTTGAAGGGGGGAGCTCTTATTGATCATCATTCGGTTCATTCGTTACAGATATTTTCGATAGTTGCGCAAATGCGCATTCCCATCCTCGACGACGCCGCCGACACCCACTGCCGCAGCGGCACTCTCGAAGGAGGGCGGCTCGATTACCATGCCCGGGCTGTGCGGATCACATGAGCTGTGGGAGAGGCCAGAGGCTGAGCCACCCAGGGAGGAGCCACCGACACCTTTGGTCCGTCGCCGGCCGCGTGTGCCCACTCCGCGGGAACGTCGGCCACCGGCACCGCCTCCGACGCCACTGCCGCCGCCGTTGTTGCCGACACCGCTGCTGGAAGTGGGCGTGCCTCCGCCACCGCCGCCGCCAGCGCAGCCACCGCCATTGCTGCCAGGGAGACTGTCGCCCAGCTCTATGGCCTCCAGGGAGGCATCCAGAGCGGCATCTGTGGTGGTGATGCGGGTGCGCGTCACGCCACTGCGTCGTCGGGCACTGGAGCCGCCGCTGGAGCCAACGCCACCGCCGCCGCCGCCACCACCACCGTCACCGCCAGCCGCATTCGATGTGCCCCGCTTGCCGGCACGACGCTTGCGCCGCTTCTTATTGCCGTAGCGTGGATCGTAGTCGTACTCATCGTCTGCCGGCGACTTTGGCTCTTCCAGCGAGTCGACATCATTCATGTCCATGTCATCGTAGAACCATTCCTTGGGCAGATCATCCTTGGAGTGCGACGACGACTGCTGCTGCTGTTGGTGGTGCTGGTGGTGATGCTGCTGCTGCTGCTGTTGGCTATCCTTGCTGTCGGAGGTGTCGCCACCGGCCGCACCCAAAGAGCTGGACTCCTCCAGGCTGAAGGCTCCATTGAAGTCGTGCGTCGTGTCGCTGTGCAGGGCCGCTAGGACCGAGGGTGTCGTTGTGCCCGCCCCTGTCAGCATGTTGAGACTGAGGGAGGAGGAACTGCTGCCGCCGCCGCCGCCGACGCCGCCACCCAGGCCGCTCAGGCCAATGCCGAGATTAACGCCGCTGGCCACCAGCGCCTCGTGCTCCTTGCGCAGCGCCTGAAAGGGTCGCTCGGGAAACCGACTAAAACGAGGAGAAGGGAGGGAGAAGAATGAGCAACCTTGTGATGGCAGGCAGCGGGATGTGTAGAGGCAGCGGTCAAGCAGGACTCACCTGTACATTTTGGTTAAGTATTGGCGGCGACTCTTTCGCCACCTGGCCGCCGGATACGTGTAGATTTGTCCCTGCCGAAAGCCCGGCATCCGCTGCCGCTTGTCCATGAACAGCTGTGAGTGGTTCTGGGCAACGCCCGTTTGCGGATCCAGGAAGGGCAGCCGCAGGCGCCGCTCGATGCACAGGCGTGTGTTGAAGTTGGCACTGTACTCGATCGTCTCCCGGTAGCTGACATCCTTCAGGAAGTTCTCTATTTTCGCCAGATTGGGCATCGACACGATCTGTATGTTGACCGCCGAGGACATGGTGCTGGGATACCTCTTGACCTGGAAGAGGATCCGGATCTTGTCGGTGTGATTAAACGGTGCCTAATCTTCTGCCAAGTTCCAACTAGCGTCTTGGACCCTCGGACTAATCCATCATCCCAGTTCCCAGTGGTTGCTGCTGCTTCTGCTGACGACAACTTGGATTTTTTGTATTTTGTTTCTTATCTCGTTTCGCCTTTTTTTCTCTTCTCTTTTCTTGTGTTTTTGTGTGTTTTCACAACGCTTTCACTGTGTGTTTCCGCAGAGCGTTATCTGTGTGATTTTGGGTGGCATTTTACGTGTTTGTGTGGTGGGGCAGAGAGGACGTGTTCCACATGATTTTCTTATTGTTTTTATTAAAAAAGGAAGGTTAACGTTAATTTGCTGCGTTTACTTCTTTGCCTTTTTACTAGGGTTGTCAAAAATAAATCAAAATATCAATATATCGATATTTTTCCAAAATAAAAATATATCTATATCGTGATATTTTTCTGCCTTTTTTTTCGATACTTTATGTTTGGTCACACTTAGTTCGGCAACTGACGGTTATAGCCTGGTAATCGTATCCGAAAAATGTTTCCGGCAGAAAAATCAAGCATGATATTTGTATGAAACCGATAAGAAATGTTTTCGAGCACAAACACATTTTCTAGCGGCTGTATGCCACTCAGTACTCAGATCGAAAAAAACATGCAGATTAACCATAGAAAATCCTAAGGTTCGTTAGCGCCTCGAAAAAGATACAGACAGAAAACCCACCGAAGTGGAAATAAAAATGAGCACCGCCCAATTCTGAATATGAATAAGAATGTACAGAATTTTTTAATTTCTTTGATCGCCAGAAGATTCATATTGCCTAGACACACATCCGGCTGAGTTGTTAACAAAAATGTGTCTTCCGTTTCGGGCCAAGACTGCTCCACCAATGCAAAAAAGGCTTCTTCTAAGACTTCTGAAAATTATGCAACGGCCAATTCCAAGATGTTTTGAAGGATTAATACAACACATAATATTGCTCATTAAATACTGAGGCTGTTTACAACGCCAACTTTATCACTAATCCTTGATCCATTTCCTGTGGTGGTCCTGGAAATGGATCGGGAAAATAGTTCAATCCATTGAACTCGTGCCAGATCTATTGTTTCTAGCTTATATCGATAGTTGATATATCGACAAGAGCACCGCAGAAGAAGAAGAATGTAAACAAACACAAACTATTTTAAAACTCATGAATTCCGCTCAGTACTTCGGTTTTATGGAATAAATGTTTCAGTATCGATGCAATGAATCATGGACGGTGATTAAGTTGTCCTGCTGAACGCTCCCAAATACACACATTCCTTTGCAACATGGGGTGCTAAAGTTTTGGAATGGGCAGAATCTTCCCGTTTGCCAACACTGAAAATGTTAGTTTAATTATAAGGTAAGAATTGCAGTTACAAAATAATAGATTTAAACAATTTTGTTATGTTTTCCTCTTGCTAGTTTTTCCTTTTCCCCTGGCCCGCATGGGCAGCTTCTTTTCCGGCGTGGCACGATATGTACCGTGCAATTTGTCCAGCAATCCGATCACACCATAATTATAATTGAATCTGCGAAGCATTTGGGAATTATACGAGACGAAAGCTTGTGTGTGTGCGGGATGGCACTTACTTGGCATGGTGATAGTCGTGGAAGCGAACCGACGCCCCCGACCAGGGAAAACTGTAGCCAGCATGATCGCTCATCGAGTTGACAATGGCCAAGGCAAAGATCAGCCAAGCCAAGGCGACATGGGTGCCCAGCAGGGCTGTGGAGAGTGCTACCGGTAGGAGATTGGCCAGCACATGCTCCACGGGATGGGCATACAGCGTGATGGCGGCTATGGGTGCTGTCCACTCGTGATGCTTCTTATGCACGTGCTTGTACAGCGCCTTGTGGTGCAGCAGTCGATGGGCGTAGTAGAACATGATCTCCTCCAGCACCACAAACGCCACCAGATCGCGCACCGCTCGCCTGAACGACGGCAGCTCCCGTATATCCTGGCTGTTCTTGTGCCTGTAGACCAGCTCGTACACCACCCAGGAGGCCAACACATTGACAATCGTCAGATTGAGCAGCACCACCTTAATCGAACGCCAAAGCCTGGCCAGATCCACGGGCTCATTCTGGCCCGGCTGAATCTTGTATTTGCGTATGAATCGCGGCCAATTTGTGATATCCATAATGGTGAAGAGAGCTGCATACAGCCAGTAGACGGAGAAAATGGTCACAGTGCTGCCCAGCACCCACAGCCGCCAGGGATCATCGCCGATCACATCGAGCAGCGACAGCCAGCGGTGCTGCATGAATTGCCCAGCCTGTGTCCAGCTCTCCAGAAGCGAGTCCATTCTGCTGATGGTCAACTCTCCAACTGAATGTCCGTTCAAGTAGTCGTGGAAATAGACACAGTGTGTCAAGACTCGCGCAATAGTGCGCTACATGGGTGGGGCACCTCAGCTATGCCCTGAGGAGTGCCATAAGCTGATGAAGTTTTCTTATATTAGCTTGTTCGATCGCTTTGGGGTAGGCCATTCCGCGTATCCGATCTGCCTGACCTGATCCGAAAGTACTTTAGCACTCTCAAATCTCTATAACACGAGTGTGGGGGCCTAGTGCAGGCTGATTAGCATTGCGTATAAATTTAGAAATCAGCTTATCGCCCGCTCTTTTGTTGTCCATTCTAGTAATTCTAAGGCAGATTATTGCCAAGTATTACCACTATTTCTTGCACAAGATTAGGCTTCTCTTCTCTTCATTTTGTTCTGTTTGTTGTGTTGGGCATTGGGAATCCAAACCGATCCAAAGTTCAATCCGACTACGCTGATTTATTCTTTGGCAATGCCTTATCGTGGGTGTAAATGGATATTCATAAGCCTTGGTGCCTGCTGCCTCCACCCTATAGTGACACACTAAGATTTCGTTTTATTTTTTAGTTATTGGGGAATTCCTTCGTTTAATGTATTTATGCTCATCTTTGTATATGTCCCTTAAAATGTTTTTCTTTTTCGTTTGCTTTACAACAATTCACTTCTTATTATTTTGTTTTTTGTTTGGAGATTTATGCATTGAACGCTTTTTGGTTCGCTTTGCTAGTTAATTAATGAATTATGTATTCATGTAAATATAAGTACGGGCCGCATTGGGTATGAAACAGATTGGATGATGAATAAGCTAAGCTAAGAAAACGAAAACTGAAGTGCCAAATCGATGGACAATGGATTGTAAAATTCCTTACACTTAATTCTACTTCTCTATGTATATTTGTGTATTTGTATATTTATGTTGCTTTATTATGCAAACATCTGTCTAATGCTTAAGCAGAGTTTTATTTAAATATTGCCTTGTTCCTTGGATTGTTCTATGTATGTAGATTCGTTTCGCTGTTTCTTTAATTTATTTTTGATTCTTGTATATTTGATTTTGCCATCTTTTGTGTGTGTTGTGCTCATCGCTGTGTCTCTGTTGGCTTTAGTTTATTTTAATTTGAAAAGGCACTGCTGCATTCAAGCGAGTCCTTTGCGCCCTACGTACTTTTCGCTTAGCTTAGTCTTTATTTGTTTATTTATTATTTAATCTCCCTTGAACAGGTCTGCAAGGGTTTACATAAATACATACATAATCGTACATAAATATTTGAAAGTAATTCTTCAAGCAGTCCTCTCCTCGTTTCATGCCGGGTTGTTGTGTTCGCTTTGAACTAGTTCTTAAAATATAATTACAAAACTTTTAACTTAATGAATCCGAGAGCAGAGCGTACATTATGTACACATGCATGTATGTACTATGTATGTACCAGACACACTTTTAAATCTTTTGTGCAATTATTCGTAGTTCCAGGGCATACGAGTATAAAAACCAACATTTTGAAATAACATGAAACAATACGATTTGTTCTTTGTTTTAATATCTAAAAAGTTACTTGCATCCGAAGACATTATTCGAACGTATTATCCATGCGGCGTTATTGGTTTCTTTTCTTGAAATAAAAACGTTGCTCACAGAAGGAAGTTTGTTTGATCGATCAATGTTTAAGGATCCTTAGTTCCCAGCCATTCTTTACTGGTTTCTGCAAACTGCCTGCACCTTCTCTAATTATTGTAATTATTATTCAAGCTGGCCATGCCGATGGTTACGATGCTGCGGCTGACGTTCGTGGGTCTCCGCTTCGGTTTCTGTCTCCGTTTCGGTGTCCAATCCCTCGTCATCGTCAATGGCATCCTCATCGTGCTCATTGAGCAACAGCGGGCTATCGTCGCCCAGCCGACTGGGTGGCAAGGCGCTGCCCGGCGTAGTGGGTGCCGAGCGTGTGATCCAGCCCTTGCGCGCCACGCGTCCTCGATTCACGAAGAAGCTGGCGCCACTAACCACGCTGCTGACGGGGCTCTTGAGCAGGCAGCGCTGTGCCGTGCCCATTCCCGCGCCCATGGCTGCCATCGGTATGTACAAGGCCTTGTTGGGAGGCGGCGGCATCTTGTTCGAGCCAAAGAACTTTTTACTCTTGCCAGCAGCGGAGACTGCGCTGGAGCCAGAGGCAGAGACAGAGACCGACATCGCTGTGGGCTGTGGCGCCTGCGAGGATGAGGGCGTGGACAGCGTGTGCTGGAGCCGTGGCTTCGCACCCATTCCCGCTCCCATGCCCGTCCCGCTCAACAGGAGATGTTCATAGCTGACGCCCGCCTGCAAGTGACGAATTTGGTCGAGAATCTCGCGCACCTCCCCGGTGGGACTGGTGGCCTGTGGCGGTGAGCCTGGTGTCCCGACATTGGCCAGACTGCTCACACCCGACGCTGTGCTTGCAGTGCCCACAGGCCCCACACCTGAGTTGGGGCCACCGCCGCGGTCACCCTTTCCGACCGCTGAATGCTGGCAGCAGTTCTCCAGGCTGTGCAGGGGATTTGGCTGAATGCAGCCATTGCTGAAGAGTACCGGTGTACCGCCGCAGCCGCCGCTGCAGCTGCCGCCGCCGACTGCCAGGCTGCATAGGGATGCGGCCTGTGTGGCGGCCACACTGTCCATGCTGGGGCCTCCTGCCGCTCCACCCAGGCCAGCCACGCAGCTGTTGTTCACGAAGATATCACTCAGGCTGCTGCTGCTGTTGGCCATGTAGCGAAAATGCTGATCGCTCTGGGACTGTAGGTAGCCCACACCAGCACCAGCACTGACTCCGTCCTCGTGGGAGCCATGCAGTCGCGTGCTATACATGGCCGCTCCACCACAGCCCGGCGCACTGCCCAGAGCCACCGTGGCATAGTGCTGTGTGTGCGCTTGGGCCTGAGCCTGTGCTAGAGCATGAGCCCGTGACTGGGACTGGGACTGCGATTGAATAGCCGCAGTCTGTCGTGGCAGGTACATATCCGGGTCGACCAACTGTGAGGCAGAGCGTGGCAGTCCATACTGGTGGGTCGCAGCTGCGGTAAGCGGTGTTGGGCCCAGCGGCGGCTGTGGCGCACCCGTATGATCCGAATTGCGAGTGCCATGGGCCACATGGGCATGCGCCAGGTAGTGGTGCAGCCCCAGATCCGGACTGGCTGCCCGGGAATATGGCGGCGGAACCATGGTGTTTGCCTCGTTCGCATTGCAAATGAAGCTAGAGCTGAGCGAGTCCACAGTGCTGGCGGCGCTCAAGGAGCCCGCCGGACGGACAATGTAGTTCCGGAAGTACTGGACCATCAGGTAGCTGGAGCTGCCGTTGCCATTGCCTTTGCCGTTGCCATTGTCGCTGTTGCAGGTGAAGACAAGCGGATAGAGATCCGGCTTGGACGTGACCTGCAAAAAGTGTTAGTAAAAAGTTATTTATGCTCGCACTCAGCTTGACTCACCTCTGTGTATGGTGGGGGCGGGTGATGGAACGAGCTGCAGCGACTGTACTGCGGAGGGGCATAGCAGGAACCGGCCGAGTCGCCCTCGGACTGGGTGTGGTGCTCGTTAAAGCCCCAGCCACACAGAGTGCGGCGCTTCTTCCACAACGAGTAGGCACAGAGAATGGCCAGAATGATGGCAACCACGACGCACCTGCAACGATAAATGCATAAGGATTGACGGATCCGCTAGGCTAGGCTCTGCTGTGCTCTGCTCTGCTCACTGCTCGGTCTGCAGCTGGCGGGACTGAATGAAGAAGCCCATGGCCGTGACCGTGTCCGTGTCCGTGTCATGCAACGGCTATAATCGAATTTCAACTAAAATTTTGAAGGGCCTTTGGCTGTCTTTTTGGCGACTCGAGATTGTATTATGTGAGCAAGAGGCCAGCTCGCTGCGGCCCAGCGGGGGCCCGAATTAGGTTGCATCAGAATACATCAGCAAACAGCTCGGTGCTCTCTCTGTTTCTCATTAGTTGGCATTGCCATTTCCGTACCACCTTCTCTCTGGGGAGGAGGAGGTGGCGGGTGTTGGGGAGCGTGTGCCCGCTGTCTTGCATAAGCCTCTCGACTTGACTTGACGCAATCCGTCATTGGGTGAAGGGGTGGCAGCCTTTGCTGCCAATAATAATAATATCTCGCATGCCACACAATGCCAATCGGCCAATCGGCTCCCCATGGGAGCACGAGCAGGACCAGGAGCAGGATTCAGGCCATGACCATGATGGCAAAGAGCAACAACAGAGCAAGGTGGAACAGGCTGAATAGGACTTACCAGAAGAACCAGTGACTGATGAAGAAGAGATTTAGAACATGCTCCGAGGGCGGGGCCAGTGGTCGGGATCCGCCCTGGTAGGGGGGACAGCAGCCCTGGGTGCAGCAGTCGCGCGGCAATGAACAGATGTGTCCGCCCTCGCACAAAAAGCGAGCCGTCACCTGTAAATTATAGAAATTAGTTTTCTGTCAGGCAAGGTAACTGTAAAATACAAAGATAACGAAAGCGGCAAAAACAAAAGCAAAAACAACGTGTACACACATATCCATGTGTGTGTGTGGGTGGATGTACATTTCAAATGAAAACATCATTGCCAATATAACCGTTATGTTTGGGTTTTGTGTTGACACTATATATATGGGGGATATGCACATACATACATATGTTAAGGGGTGTATGTAAGTACTCGCAAGTTTTAGTGTTTAGTGTTTAATTTAGTGTGTTCAGCTTTTTATTGACCTGCAGTGTTGCTGTGCCCCGTCTTTGTCCTTCTTCTTTGTATGTACACATGTACATATGTATGAACACTTACAGAATAAATAAATGAATAATCAAAATAATTAAAGCACATGTACTGCATGGAAAACAAACGAAATCTCGTGCAACACTGCGTCAGTCAGCAACTTACATGCAAGGGGAGAAGGCCCACCGTCAGGAGGACCAACTGCAGCACCAGAAACGGGCATGGGCATGCAAATGAGGAGGAGGAGGAAAGCAGCGAAGCGTAAAGCCACATGGTACTCCCAGCTCTGTCTCTGTCGCTGTCGCTCCTTCTGCCGCTGCCCGTACTGGCGCCAAATGTCCTCTCGATGCGATGGGATGGAGAATGGAGGGTGATGGAGGTGGGTGGTAGGTGCCAGCAGCCTCCGTTCTGTTCTCCGTTTAGCCTCGTGTGTGATTTGTTCCTTTGTTTTGCTTTAGTGTGTGCTTTCTCTCTGCTGCTGCTGATATTTGTGTCACATTCTGTTCTTGTTTTTGTTTCTGTTTTCGCTGCTCCTGCTGACGCCTCGCTCAATGCACACACACACAACCGTACACTCACTGTTTTGCACAGACACATGTACACGCGCGCTGCTACATAGCAGGGCCTTTTGTTTTGTCCTTGACAGACGAGAATGCAATTTACCGTTGCATGCTTTTCTGCTTTGCGCTTACTTTTACTTCACTTCGTTTTAGTTCCTTTTTTCTGTTTTTTTGTTTTTTGGTATTCTGTGAATGATAAATATTCATCCACTTAAAAAATATATACATATGTATACATAAATATATACCTATGGTATATACTCTAAATACAATTAATATGTACATATGTACATATGTATGTACCTTAACGACGCCAAGAAAATTGTCTCTTCGTGTGACGCCACTTTTATTATTCTTGTACATACACATGTGCATACACACATACGCATGTGTACATGTTTACACGTATGAACATTTTCATTATTTCAATCTGTTCACTTTTTGGGGAATTAAATCATTGGTAAACTACGATATCTGTTGGCACATTACAAAACAAAATAAAAAAGCTACGAAAACTTCTTGGCAATTGTTGTTACCCCGAAAAATCTCCCGCGCCTCACCCTTGCGGCATACACAACAACAGCAGCAGGAGCTGGGGACAGAGACTTTGAGCGAGATTTAGAGCATTAGGAGCATTCGTGGAATTTACAGTTTTCCGGACCGAACGAACATCCAACGTAACGTGGGAGCGAGAAACTGAGCAAACGGCCAGAAACACTGTAATAGGATTCCAACAGCAGCAGCGCCTGGAAGCAGGCAATACGATTGTCGCCCAGCCTGGCAACCCCCTGGCAACAGCTGTTTGTTCGGCCAGACCACATTTTCAAAGGACCGTGACACTAAATCATACATAAAATGTAAATAAATACATTACATACAATTAATTGTACTCAATACTCAATAATTATGCACAAACATAGAGTATCTACTGCATTTTTTACAGGGTGTGAGAAGAGTCGACATGGCGTTTTCTTGGTAGTAGTGCCATCTCTTTTCGACTCATGGTAATGCAGTTTATGAAGCATATTCAGTATATTTAAATGTAAAATACAAAGTCTACTTGGCTTTGAAGAAGGATGCAATGCTCTTGGTACCTTTAGCTCCCTTGGCCAGAGCCTTTTCCTTGGCCGTCATACTACGCTCCTTAAGCGGCTCTACAGTGGGCGGTGAAATTATGCAGTCCTTGACATCTTCGCTGTCCAGCAGGCCGCTGATCTTCAGCCTTGACGCGGCATCGCTGTCATGGTTATTCAGTTTGATTTTTTTTCTGTTGCTGTCCTCCTGTCCTACATTTGACTTTCGCTTCTGAGCTGCAGTTTTCTCCTCGACAATAGCCTGAATCTCGCTGGGTATATGCAGATAGCCGACCAGCTGATCGTGTAGATCGGCATCCAGGTATCGGCCAACAATGTCACACGCCATCCGAGTGTAGTTCATCTCGTTGATAACAGTGTCCTCCGCTAGCTTATCGCTGCGAACAAAGTTCTGCGACTGTGCACTGTGGCCGCAATGGATCTGCTTTTTCTTCAGCGTCTCGGCCACTTGTCGTGTCTTCAGGGATAACCAGGCGAGCGTCCGCTCCTGATTGTACTTGTAGAATGTCAAGTCTCCAGACACCTTAACATCGGCCACACGCCCAAGACTGTCGGAGCTAACAAACTGCGTTAGCAAGCGACTCGTGTTGGCTTCATGCACAGCAATATTCTCCAGCGACATTGCTTCTGTTGAGGTGTAGATGTGAAGTATGTGAAGGCGATCAAGCAGATTTGGGACCTACTTACTCTGCGTACAGTGTTTCCTCAAGTGGTGAAGCGCCAGCAGCGTGGCATCCAAGGGCATGGTCATATAGACTCTGCCGTTGGAGCAAATCTCGCTGTGGATTAGCCAGCTGCGCCGCGGCTCCGCATATTCGAGCAGCTCCATAATTTGACCATCTGGGTGCGTTACAAACAATGCATCTTTTCCCTGGCCAGGGTGGTAGAAGCGATCCAGGCGCAGCCGCTGATCATCATCCGATAGCAACTTTTCGGATATGTAGAGCACCTTCTTCAATGCGGTCACGGTGGACTGCGTTCCTGAGTCTGGATCTGGCTTTGGCTTCGATGATCGCGTTGACTTCTTACTCATTTTTAAATAACTAGTTGGTTCTTAGAATTGCAGTCGATTGTGGTGGTGTGGTGTAGTGTTGATTTCCAAGCAAAATGTAAATAAAGTAAACTATAAACAATCTCTCTCCCGCGTTTGTTAGAGATTCGATGAATGGCAGTGTGCCCGCGGAAGTATCGATAAAATCGAAATCGAAACATATCGTAAATGCACTGATGAAAAAACAATGTTCTTTATCTATTTTTGAAGAAACGAGAAAAGCGAAAACGACGAATCGGAAAGAATTTATCAGAATAATCAAAACATAGATGGGGGTTTGCTACCCCTTTTACCGATTACTCTGTCATATTGTATCGTTAGTGATGAAACTTAGTGAGAGCGTGTATCGATAAGTAATGGTCTTGTTTGCCAACACACAGCGCACAGCTGGTTCAAATCAAAATCTAATGTTCCACGGCTGGCTAAATGGTGAAATAGATTAGCAATGGATATAGCCACAAGCATTAAGTTCTGTGATGTCTGCGAGCTGTTCGAGAAAGTCAAGGCAGCAGAGAAGATTCAGGACAAGGAGGATGTGCTGAAAAGCTACTACGAGTCGTTCTGCCGCCATCGGGAGGCATTTCGCCAGGCGGCCGGCCTAACGGACGATCCTAGTGAGAGTGGCTCCAGCAGCTTCCACTCGGTCCTGCGTCTGCTGTTGCCCAGTGCGGACACTAGAAGGGACAACTATGGTCTCCAGATAACCGCTCTGGGCCGCCTCTACACCAGAGTGCTGCAGCTGACGAGAGAGTGTGGGTGGATATCAATCAGAATATTGGCTTTGAAATTGTTCTACTTACTTTTTGCACCTGCAGCTCGCGATGCCATAATGCTGCAACATCGCAGCGGAACCTCATATCGTGACTATGGGGATGTGGTTTATGCCGTGCTTGTGTCCCGTTGCTTTAATCCACCCAGCGATCTGCGCCTCAAAAGCATCCACGAAATGCTCGATAAAATTGCCAATGAGGATACAACAGGTGGGGTTAGGGTTTCTATGCGGTTGCTTTGCTTCTGCCACTTATCGAATAATATTTTCAATATTCCAGTTAAGGAGCAGGAGCTGATACGTTTCACAGAACAAGCCTCGGCCAAGGAGCAGAAGTGGCTAATCCGAATACTCCTAAAGTCCCTGGGACTAGGCATAGGGGAGCAGCGCATATTCGGAATTCTGCATCCGAATGCTAAGGACATTTACCAGCGCTGCTCCGACCTCAGTCACGTATGCAATTTAATTGCCAATAACTTGTCTGATCTGGACGTGAGCGACACGCAGAACAAAGGCAAAACCAAGAGCCAACCATCCACGATTAACCTGAACGCAGTCATTAGGCCCTTCCATCAGATCCGTCCCATGCTCTGCGAGCGTTTTCCCGGCAACATTCAGGAGCTAATGCAGTCGGATGTTCTGTATCTGGAGACCAAAATGGATGGCGAACGTTTCCAGCTGCATTATGATCGTGGTCGCTTCATGTACCTTTCCCGCAACGGCGTGGACTATACCAACAAATTTGGCGATGACTTTAGCCGGGGAACGTTGACGCCAGAATTGCGTGGTCTGCTGCCGCACAGCCTGCAGTCGATCATCCTTGACGGCGAGATGATGGTGTGGGACACCAACCTAAACAAATACCGCGAAAAGGGCGAGAACACGGATGTAAAAAACCTCAAGCCCGATCGCAGCTGGCGTCCCTGCTTTGTGGTTTACGATCTGCTGTACCTAAATGGCCAGAGTCTGCTCGATTTGAGCTACATTCAGCGCTCCTACAAGCTCCAAAAGCTGATAGGCGAACAGCAGGGAGTGCTGCAGTTGATGCGCAGCACCAAGATTGGATCAATCGATGAATTCAATGAGCTCTTCCAGAGAGCCCTCGACCTCAATGCCGAAGGCATTGTTCTCAAAAAGCAGAGCTCCATCTATCAGCCGGGAGTTCGAGTCGGCGGTGGATGGTACAAGGATAAGGCAGATGTGAGTTCACTCTTAACGACACTCTCCACTGGCAGAGAATATAGTTTTATTTTCGCTTGAAACAGTACATCAAGGGTCTGATCACCGAGTTTGATGTTCTCATCATGGGAGGCTTCTACAATCGCAAGCGAACGTTTGTTGATTCGTTTCTGTTGGGCGTACTCCAGCCAATGGCCAACAGCGACAGCCGTCACGAGGTTTACAGCATTGGCTGTGTTGCCAACAACACGCGACAGGCTGTGGTGCTGAACCATACGCTGAAGCCACACTGGCACAATGCCACCAAGGAGCCACCGCCACTGTGGTATCATTACATGGCCGGCGAAAAGATTGGCTGCCCGGATCTGTGGATCGAGCCACAAAATTCGATTATATTGCAGGTAAAGGCAGCGGACCTGGCACCCAATAGTGCCTTCTACACGCGCAAAGCTTTGCACTTTCCACGCATCGAACTTAAGCGGGATGACAAGCCATGGAATGAGTGCATGACACTGCAGGAGTTCAACCAGCTGTGTGAGGTAATCACTCGTACACTCGTGCCAGTTCCCACTACGATATGTTTTCCTTTACTTTGCAGGGCTCTGGTCCGATCAAGAAGTTGAACAAGCGTCACCTGTGCCTGGATGATTTGACTACGAAACGCAAACGTTTACGCATGACGCCCGCAGAGCGCAGTCGTCTTGGTCTGGCCATATATGAGAAGCGCTACGATGTGGCGACGACTTCCAGTTGCTCGAAACTTTTCGAAGGTCTCAGTTTCTGCATTCTGAGTGGTGCGCCAGGCCAGAGCAAGCACAAACTGCAGGAATTGGCAGCCAAGAACGGTGGCGCTATTGTGGAGAATCCGCTGCCCAACGATCCCAAATGCTTCTGCATAGCGGGCGATCAGACGTTCCTGGTAAAGCGATTAATACAGCTGCAGCCACGCACCAGCGATATTGTGCGCACGGAGTGGCTGGTGCGCGTCTGCCAGAAGCAAGAGCTCGAGCTACGTCCAAAGGATGTGCTGTCGGCCACCGAGCCACTGCAGAATGATTTGGCTGAGTATTATGACAAGTTAGGGGACAGCTACACAAAGGACATTGCCAGCGTTGACGAACTGCTCGAATTGCTGCAGGACATCGACACGGAGTTGCTTGCCGCCGATCCTGTCTCACAGTCCGAATTGAATGCCTTCGAAGACGCGTTGCTCGGTCAGGTCTCACAGAACATATTCCGTGATCTGCATGCCTACTTCTACGATGCCCAGGGCGACGAACTGGCCAAAGTTTTGTTCCTGCAGAATGGCGGAACACTCGCAAGCGAAGCCGATGCCCAAGTAAACCTTGTCTTCGTTTGCATGTCCTCTAATCCAGGCGATAAACAATGCGAATCGTGGCTGCAGAAACACTTCAGCTCGCATTCTGGCGAGGTTCTTAACTCAGCATGGATCCATCAATCGCATCGTGAGCGTCGCCTTCTAAAAATGAGTTGTTTTTCAGTTAAATAGAAGTGGATGTACCAGTATTTCGTGCACATTTAGCATGTACTTTCTTTGCAAAACTCCCAGTTCTTGTTTGAAAAAGATTTCGTATTTTTATTTCACATAAAAAGAGATAACGAGCAGATAAACGTTGGTTTTGTTCGGGAACGGGGAAAGGTTTAAAGTGGAAAATGACACATAATGTTTGCATGTAAATGTTGTTTCGGATTCAGCGTTTGCCCTGTGGCAATAAGGACATCAAAAAATACACATTTAATCTTTATAAATTGTTGATTCGTATATATGTATGCATGTATGTAAATTGTTTATAATGTGTATAACATTTAACATTTAACAATTCTTAAACGCTGGCGCTCTGTACTTCTCTCTTTCTCGCTCTTTCTTTCTTAGTGCTGCCTTCCCTCCATCGCCATGTCACTCGTTTTGTTAGTCGGTGTAAAATCTAATGAGGAATATGCAATCTCTGAGATTGTTTAACACATTTATGGACTCCTTTAACATCATATGTACATGTACGTATCTCAATTGAAATGTTCAAATTGTATCCAACTTTCTATTTCGAATAGGATTTACAAACAAATTTCTCCAAGAGGAGCAGCTTTCGGGTTTCTTTCTTTCTGTTTTCTGTTCAAATATTCTTGGGTGTGTGTGTGGGGGGGGGGGGGGGGGGGGGGAAATTCGTGCTCTTTATAGATAGAATAAATATATGGTTCAACATGTGTATATTTATATGTATATAAATAAGGGTTTTTAAAATGCACATTTCGTTCGTTCTTTATTTGTTTTTTTTTTTTGTGGGGTTCGGGCAACGCATGTTGAAAAACTGCCAACTGCCAACTGCCAAATGTTACAATTACACTTTGCTGTGCCCATTTTCGCATCTTTTGTGATAATACAATAGCAACCATTTGCACACACGTGGGGATGTACATATATATATATATATATATATATTAGACAATCTAGGATAACACTGATATCTGGCTTACAGCGCGCTACTCACATATCATCATCTATCAACATTAATTGTACTCGTCATATTTAATAGTTACTAAATATAATAATAATAATAATAATAGTCATAACATTAGTTTCATTTTTTCCTTCTTCTTTGTTTTCGTCCATAAATTTAATTAAAATAAAAAAAAAATGTTCATAAACAAATATTTAGTTGCGTTTTTCATTAAATTGTTAAAAAAGTCTTTTGGAATTTCTCGCATATTCTTCATATTTGTAACTTAAATTGTATATTTAAATATAAATAACTGTTTTAATCATTAGTTCTTGCTAACTCGTTTTAGATTAAAAAAAAAAAACATTTGTTAATGCATTGAAAGTCAACAAAATAAAATTAATTTAAAATTCAGACTTCAATGAACTTGTGTGTGTTTTCCAGCAGCAAACGGAGATTTGAATCAGATTTAAACAGATTTAATTGAATGCGTTCCAAGAGGAGAAGCCTCTGGTTCGGAGATTTCAGTGCTAATCGTTTAGAGCTGCTCTTTACAATGTTTTCTGTGGTTGTTGGCATCTTATAATATTTGTGTACTCTGTATTTCGCTTTGTTTGGATGCCTATTGATGTTGCAGTTCTTCCAGTTCTTTTATTTCGTAGGTATATGGCAGTTTCAAATCATTTTTTCTATTTCACTTTTTGTTTGAGATGATTTGACATTCATTTTCTTAACTAACACAAAATAAATGATTTAAAAAAAAAAGTGTATTAATGGTATATATATTTTTGTACAGCTACAGATTAAATAAAGCCATACATATTTGTGTGTGTGTGTGTGTGTGTTTGGGTGTCTGTTTTGAATTTGTTGATGAGGGAGACAGCAGGCAGGCATTTTCATGCGCTGTCGCTTAGGCAAAGTTGGTCCACACTGAAACCTTGTATCCATATCCATGGGTTTTACATGTACTTAATATTAGGTCCACATATGATTAATATATTCTTTTTTTAATAATAAAAAAAAACGTCCAAGTAATTTAATTTGTTGATCTCAAGCCGTTTAAACTGCAAAACAACAAATAGTTAGTAAAATTTTAAACAAATTAAAAATAAAACAGACAAAAAACAAAAAACTCACGCTGATCGAAGGTGCTTGGGTTTATGTAGCTAATCAGATCCTGATCAGACATCGTGGTCAGCTCCTGGGGTATGGGTGGCTGCACGGCCACGGCCGCAGCAGCAGCCACGGCACCGACAGCCGCTGGCAAAATGCTTCCGGCGGTGGTGGGCGCCGAGGCCTGTTGGGTCATCACGGCCCCATTGGTGGTGACGGCGGCGGTGGCCACGGACTTTTGCAGCGCATTCTCGCTGGCCAATGCAACGATCAGAGATTCTTGTGGTGAGGCCGCTACAACTGGCAAGTGGGCGTGGCCGTGCGAGTGACCACCATGGCCATGGCCGTGTCCATGACTGTGACTGTGACTGTGGCTATGACTGTGACTGTGGCTATGACTGTGGCTGTGGCTGTGGCCGTGCCCCGAAAGTGACTGAAAGCTGGCAGCCTCCGCGGCGACGGCTGCAGCAGCAGCGGCTGCCGCCTCCGGTGGCGTTGAGTGGCTCAAAAGCAGATTGACCAACGGATCCGCGCCAGCCTCCACGGGATTGTTGGCCACCGGCACGCCAGACTGCGGCGAGCGTGTGTGCGAGTGCGTGTGCGAATGGGTGTGCGTGCGGGTGTGTTGATGATGATAGTTGTGCTGCTCCTGCTCCTGGGTGGTAATGAAGTCAGCGGCCGCCTTGAGTATCATGTTGCTGACCGCCGTCGAAGTGGCGGTGGCAGCCACCTCTGGCTGCAGGGCAGCCGGTGTCGGTGGCAGTGTGTCCACCACACCGCCAGCTGATGTCGGTGGACTCATCATGATGTTGCTCAGCGCTAGGGCAGCCACGGCCGCATCCTGCTGCGTTGGCTCCGGCTGCATGGCTATATCGTTCAGTATGGAGTTGGCCATGGTCACCTGGTGGGGCGCCAGGATGTTGGGCACCATTGCAGTGGCTGCCCCATTGGCCGAGCAAAGTATGGTGGATGGCGAGACGGCGGGGTTCATGATGATATCGGTGGAAAGGCCAGCGCCAACATCCACGGGAGACGGCGCCAGGCCGGCGGCACCGGCCAGAGCAGCTGCCGGCTCCGAATTGAGGATTATGTCTTGGGTGAGCGGCGAGCTGTTCGGCGAGGACTCGCTGCCGCTCAACGAGCTGCTCGAGTTGGTCGACCCAAGCGACAGGCTCCGCTCGAGCACAACGTTGGGTGAGGCGACCGCTTGATGGCCCAGGACCTTCGACTGCAGCATGTCCGTCAGAGCGTGGTCGATGACAGCCACACTGCTGAAGAGCGCTGGCTCTGTGGTGCCATTGCTGCTGACCACCGAAGTGGACTTTGTCAGCTCATCGATGAACTTGTGCACGCTCGCTGCCGCCGCCGCTGTTGCCTGCTGCTGCTGTTGTTGCTGTTGCTGTTGTGGCTGCTGCTGTTGTTGCTGCTGCTGCTGCTGCTGCTGTTGCTGCTGCTGTTGCTGTTGCTGCTGCTGCTGCTGTTGATGCTGCTGCACCACGTGCTTAACAATTTCATTCTTTACGGCCAACTCCACAGCCACCGCCACGGCAGCAGAGTCAATGTCAACGGCGGTGACGGGGAAGCCGGGCAAGCTGTTTGACTGATCGAACATGATCGTATCCAGGCTGGATTTGCGGGCAAAGTGCGTCTGATGGTGGTACTGCTGCATGCCATTGGCGACATCCGGTGTGGCTTCCGCTGTCAGTGGACTGTGCGTGCTGCTGTCGTCGAGTAGTTCGCTCTTCAAGGCCTCCGCACTGGCCACGGCCACGGCATTGAGGTGGACCAGCTGCTGATCGGTGATCATGGGTGAGGCGCTGGGCAGCGATGAGCGGCGCACAACGCCCATCGGTATCTGGTTGCTGATCGGTGGGGGCATCATGCCCGAGTCTATCTCATGCTTGGTCTCCGCCACCACTCCCTCGCCACTGGTGGCTGCTCCCGCGCCCGATCCAGATGCCTGCGCACTGGCCGACCAGCTCGATCCGCTGCTCGATGGCGCTGCTGTGGTGTCCATAAAGTGATTCACATCTACAAAATATATGGCAGAGAAGAGTTTTAGTTTGCTACGTTATGATGGCACTTCAAATTAAATGGGACCACGGGTCAGGCGGGACGGGTTCTAAAATCAACAAAAAAAAAAAAAATAAAATAAAATAAAAACTAAAAAACTAACAAACAAAAAAAACAAGTTTAAAAATTAAAAGAAATAAATACGAGAGCGAGTGGTAAGGGGGTGGGGTAAGGTAAGGGGGGGGGGGGTGTAAGCGGCAGAGATCCATCATGGGTCCGGGAACATTTTTTTTTTATTGGAAACTAAAACTTAGGCACTACGGAAAACTTAAGCTAGGATTCGGGTAGATTCGGTGGAACTCTGGTTAGGGTCAGAGGGGTCGTAGGGTCTTGTTGTGTGTTTGGTTTTGTTTTGTTTCAATTATGGTTAATCATTACAAGCTAGGTTTTTGCTTATTTTATGCTTATTTTATATGAGTTTCAATGAACTAATTATATTTATAGCCTGAAAACGAGTCCACACATACAGTCCAGTCATACAATCATTCAAGGGGGGGACGGAGAGGAGAGCTTCTGCAAATAAAATGTCCCAGGAAATGCCAACAAAACGACTCAAGTTCAGTTAATAAACGATCGAAAGTGATCGAAATTAGCCCCAAGAGAATACATATCAAGGATCAGCAGACATATCCACCTACACACTCAATCCATCAATCAATCAAAGCAGATCAGCGGGGTAGCCCCACACACACACACACACACACACACACACACACACACACGCAATCACACCACCAAACACTCAATCACACACAGACACACAGAGACTCGGCAAGCGTTTTCCAACACTACTTAAGAGTTGAACTTAATTCGAATTGTAATATTATAACTTAGGTTTAGGTTTTGACTTATATATTATGATTATATTAATTGTAGGATTATGGATTAATACTAGAGCAAATCCTATGGTGAATTCTGTAACCCATGAACCTCACATTATCTACATATATGTATGTACGAGTATATAGACTATAAACTATGTACCACTCCTTTACAGCCGTCCACAGCTGGTGTGATACTTGCGCTGGCGGGATGCATTATCGAAAGCTGCTTGCGTTCGTAGGCGTAATGTTGGGGCTCTTAAGTCGAGCAATGCTTAAAATTCCACTCGTTCTAAACGAGTCCCATCACTACCAACCCTTCGATAGGTTCTTTCACAAACAAGTACCCGCACATTTGCTGCAGTTGATTTCGGTCCTTTCTTCCTTCTATTTTATGCTCTTGGATTACATTTCATTTACTCTTGCTGCACTCGATGTGCACCTGGAATGTGGTTTGACTCTCCCCTGCAAATTAATTCACAGACACGATGATTCTATATGTTAAGCATGATCTTTTTTTTGTTTTTTTTTTTGTCTTAAGACAACTGAAACGGCACTGAAAATGGATGAACTTTTTACGTTAAATCGCTCTTGGAGACAATTGCTGTTTGTTAGTACAGTTGTGTATGAGCAAATCGATAAAAATGCATATGGGCAGATCTGTGATTAAAGGTAAAAGAAAAACACAATTCCATGTAATTGAAAGGTAACTAATCTACAATATTGGCAAATAATCGCTATAGCTTTGATGTGGAACCCTATTTATCACCCGTTAAAGATGTCCTCAAGTGGTGTATCATAATGGATCATAATGTGCGACGTCAGAGAACATAGCGGCTCATGTATGAGTACTTCGACAAATTACATTGCAAATAACAATTTTCCAGCATATTTTTACACCGTAATCATTCATTTTCCCCGTTTCAATTGTAACAAAAAAAAAAAAAAAACATGTGGCTCATCTCTAGGACATGAAAACACACACAACACAAAGCCTTCATTTATGTATGAGTTTTGTTAGATGCATGTATGTAATATGTAATTCTTAAAGGGGTTTTATGTATGTACGCATGTGAGATGGGGTTCCAGTAAGACTAAATCGAGTTAATTTTAATGGTAATGGTGTGTGAGTGTGTGTGTAGGTTGGGGGAAAGTGTTGTTGTTGTTTTTTGTTTTGTTTTCAATAATAGATATAGAGAAAATGTAGTACGAAATGGCCAAAAAAAATTGTTTCTTTAGTCAAGTGGTAAATAATTGTTTGAATGGTTGTTTTTTTTTTTGTGTGTGTTTTTTGTTTTGTTTTAACCAGTACCCTAGACATCCTCGAAGTTGTTGGTCGTGGCTGAAGTCGCTGTCGCTCGCTGTGGTTCGGGATGAGGCTGAGGCGCTTCGCTTCGTGTTCCGCTGATGATCGTCTCGGCGTCGGCTTGCCTGTTTATGGCTTTGTGTGTGTGTGTGTGTGTGTGTATGTGTGGCTAGGAGAATGGGTTCGGATCAGTCGCGGATTGTGGATTGTGGATCGTGGATCGTGGACCGTATGCATCCAGCGTTGGTGTCCGGGCAAGCTTTTCACAGCTTTCTCTCTCGCTCAGTTGGGTTTTGCCTTAGCTGGGCTTTTGCTTTGTTTTAGTTATAGTTATTTATGTGTATATATATAGATACAGGATGTATCGGTGTCTATATATGTGTATGTATATTTATGTTATATCAACATCCGATTAATGACTTAATTTTGATTTAATTTTGGCTTTGACTTTGGTTTTTTTTTGCATTTTATAGCACTCAAAATGTATACATATTTGACTATATAGTTAGATTGAGCACCTAAATTGCTAAGAGAATGGGAAGGAGGAAGAATATTATGTAAAAATATATATATGCATATTTTTTTGTTTGGTTTTGGGTAAGTTTATCTGTTGTTGTGGCGGGGTGGGGAGGGATACTTTTAAGAGTTTGCGAAAAAATAAATATCTATTATTTGGAGAGATCTGCTGTCCTGGAGTTATTGTATTATTTTGCCTGAGATAAGTTTTTGCTTTGCTTCTGTACGGGGGCTGCCTTGATCTTCATCTTCTTGATCTTCTTGATCTTCTTGATCTTCATCTTCTTCTGTTATATATCATCCTGATGTTCTGATCTTCTGATCTTCTGAACTTCTGCTCCTTGTGCGTGTTCAATTTTGGCGTTGGGTTCGCCTTTGCTTCTTGGTGAAAAAATGATCAAGAAAACTCTGCAACTCATTCACTCACTCGCAGCACACAGTTCTGAGGCCCCCAAACACACTCAAACAACACCCAGCAAACACGCAAACACACACACACACACACAACACTCCCATCCACTCACAAGTAGGACAGTTAATTAGCTCAGAAGACCCAGAAGGATATGTGGTTATGTGGAAAAACGTAGCAGCAGTGTAGCAAATTCTTCTTCAGCACATGTTCAGGCCAGACCAACATATACTATGATTTCCCTATGATTGTTTCCAATGACAAATTGAATAACCATTCATTCAGCAGAGTTGTTTCGATCAGTTTCCAAGCGAATTCCAATTTGTTCTTTGTCCTTCCTTAAGCTGAGAGTCGCGCGACATTTGCGGCAGAGAAATAAAGAGACAAACGGTGTGGGGGGTGGGGTGGGGAGAGAAAGAGAGCGACGGAGGAACTGGGTGCTGGAGGCGTCAAGCGCCGACTTTGTTTTCGACTTATTCATTTATGTTTGTTGTTTCATTTACTTGGTAGTGTTTTATCGTACTTATAAATTAAATTATATATTATTTTATTTGATACTTCCATTGGATTCGTTTCGGTGTTCCTGTCAATTTCCTACTTAATTATTAAGTATAATTAATTTTTAATGTTTAATTATTTTTTTGTGTGGTTATAGATCTTTTCATGCGTTACTCTGTGCAAAAAGAAAAACTAAAAGATCATTTGAGCATATGAAAAGGGAACGAGGATGGAAAAGTTTGGCAGGCAAGTGTTGGTGGGGGCGATTTTAGTACTGATTCTTATGAATATAATGCGATGTGTCCCTATCATCTGGTTAATCTTAAAACAACATTTACGAGGGCATACAAAAATCAAACAATAGTTAAGTAATTAAAGCACCCCCCGGGACTGCACCAGTCCTTCCCTTATAAATCTTTCCTCAGAAATCGAAAGAAGTATTCCTTTAACTATTTGGGTTCTTTTCTCAAGAATAAGTATTTTTGATTCACATTTCTCTCTCGTAATATTTGTGCTTGGGTTAGCCGCAAGCGGATCGGCTGCAATGCAAACAGAGAATGAGAGACATGGTGGAGGATGAGCAATGAGGAAAGACAGGGAGAAAGGAGTGGAGGGAAGCAAAAAGAATAGAACAGAATAACGCATGAAGATATAAGATGGTTTTATCTATCGATTGTTGATATATTATTATTTTTGTTCCCGATTATTTTCTACGCAAAGTTGCTAATATTTCGAGTACTTGGGATACCGCCAAGGATTGATGGCTGAATGGCTACCTCACACAGTGTTTTCGATTCTTGATTCTTTCTGCCCTAAAATGCGGTTGTGTGTGTGTGTACGAGTACGAGCACGAGCACGAGTACGAGTACGAGTACGAGTACGAGTGTGTGTGGCTTCGTGTTCGATTCGCGTAACGTACGCTGCTGCCCGAAGCCGAGCAGCAGGTGTGTGGGGGTGGGGTGGGGGCAACACTTAGTCAACAAATAGATACCTTGATCGTGAATTGTGCTACTTAACGTGCTGGCAGCCGCTAGTGTCGAATACTGTCCCTTCGGGGTGTAGGTGAAGGTGTGCGGCTCGCTCTTCTTGCCGCTCGAAACGATCGATACCTGAACGCTCACCGGCTTGATCACATTCTGGTGCAGATATTGTGGCACTGTGCATATGAGATGCGTCTGCAAAGAGAGAGGGAGCAATAAAAGCATAAATAAAAGACAAGTCGCAGACAGCATGTGTCACTTCGTCACTTACCTGATGCAAATATTCCTTGTCCGGCATCACGCTCTGTTCCCATAGAGCGGCTGTGCCGCCAATCAGCTGCTGTCTCACAGCTATTTCCGTAGCGGGATCGTCGCCATTGACGCTGTCGTAGGTCTCCTGAAACACCACATGGGTGTCCTTGAGGAAATTCTTGCCAATAATGAAGAGCTCGAGGCCGCCATCGACGGGGCACGAGTTGAGCGATTTCTTGCATATTTCCGGCACACCTGGAGGTTGAGCTGAGGCAGCAAAGTGAGGAATTCAATTGGTAAATGAAGTGTAAGCTCTTATACTTACTGCAAATTATGGGATTGGAGCAGACTTGGAGGGTCTCGGTGGTGCCATCTTCGCGGGTCAACTGAGTGCGAAACACCATCCGGCAGCGGGTCGATTTCTTTTTGTTCTTCTGTGCCAAGTGCTCGGGAAAGCGGTGCTCCACATCAACATTGCGTTCCTACAAGGCAAAAGGAAATCAGTGACATGATTCAGGACCCACTTGGTCCCCCCACGCACCTTTAAAATGCCAACGCAATCGCAGGTGATGGTCATGTCCGTCTCTGGCTTAAAATCGATCTCGATGACCATGGTGCCGTCGACCTTCTTCTCGTTGCACTGTGTCGAATTCTTGCCGGCCACCTTGCATGCCTGATAGAACATGTGTGGCGCCACACGACCAATGTCCGTGCCAATGAAGACCTGCAGCACGGCGCCCTTGTCGTAGCCCGTCAGTCGGACAATGGGGAAGCCGTTGCCGCTCCGATCCTTGACCGCTCCGCGACTGCCCTCGGTCTGGTAGCGGGCACGGTGCTGCTGCTCCGGCTGCGAGACAATCTCCAGCTGCACTTGGCCGTCGTTCGAGCTGGCGACGCTGTTCAGCGGCGTTGTGGGCTGACGCTTGTTGGCCACCCTGGTGACATTGCGGGCCGAAATAAACCTAAAGAATCGAACGGGGAGAGAGAGAGAGAGAGAGAGAGAGAGAGAGCAGAGAATATGAATAACAATTTGATGCTTGGGTTTTGCTTGAGTTTTTCCATTCCGCAGGGAACTTTTCCATTCGTAAAATTCGAAAATGTGGAATGTGAAAGGCATTTCCCCGTTTATTTGTCTAAGGATTGTTGAATATATTTCTTGCAACTTGTACTTGAACTTTGCCCAGATCCGATCCCCACATATGTGCTACGTACTAAATGCATGATGAAGCATATTTGCCAAATGATTTATGGCCAGGAGGATGTTTAGCCAATGGGCCGAGATGTATGTAAGACATGGGGAATGGTTGCTTGGTAATGAATAGAGTAAAATTCCTACGAGAAAATGCCAATGAAATACAATTTTGTTTGATTTCTTTAATTACAATACACGCACACACACACACACACACACACACACAAATATATAAAAAGCCAAAAAAACAAAATTATTTATGTTTCGAGATTTTATTGCAAATTTCTTTTCCTTCTTTGCTTTTTGTTTGTATATACAACTTTTTGTTTGTTCAGTTTTAATTCGTTTTGTACGTTTTTTACAATTGTTAAATAATTAACACACACACACACACACACACACACACACACACACACAAACACATAGAAAGAGAGGAAGAGAGACAGGAATTATTACAGGGCACACATTGAGTTAATAATCCTTTTGGTCTTGGCGTTTGTTCAATGGGTTAACAAAACTTTTACGAACACATAGATGATATTTCTTTTAGTCATAAATAATTTATTTTACGCCCATCTACAGCTGTATAATGTATCGTAAATAAAATATAAAAACTACCTAACAAAGAAGGACTCGTGGTGCTCTCGTTTCTAGTTCTTTCGCTATCGTTTTTGTACAATAATTGGCAACAATATTAATGCAAATTTCTGATAAACACAGTCCATTGATGTCTCTATTAAGTTGTTATAATTTTATCTTTTATCTGACCCGCACTTAACCAACAATTTATTGGTTTTTTAACACTTCAAATGATACAAGTTCGCGGATTTTGAACCATTTATCTTGAAGTTTTTTTTTTTTTTGTGCAAGAACTTTGCTGCAGAAGTTATGGTAAAATGTTATAAAAATACCTCAAAGGTGCCCTTCTGCTTATTTGCATAGTTTCCAAATATGTAAATTAGTTTACCTTTCAATTAATTTATACAAAAATATCAAAAGAATTATGTATATGGAAATGTGTTCTTTTTTAACGAGAGAAATATACCTATGCAGGATTGCTTGAAACAGAGATAAAGCAGCATAGTTGAAGACTTCTAATTCTTGCTAGGAATTCGGAAAAGCCTGTTGGCTTTGTTTTGGGAAAGCATCAAAGAAGAAAATAATCAGAGTACCCCAAAAATGACTTCAGTTTGGTAGTGATCGAAGAGAGAAGATGGCTTAAATTATATGAGAGACAGATAGCCAGGATATGTTAAGGTCTTACTGTAATCAAAACACATCCGCTCTCTTGTTTCGACTTTAAATGTCAACAGTCAACGAGTAAAACTAAAAATCGAATTTGTTTTTAGGCTAGGTACAGAACACAGCATGAGCATGATAAGATTATTTAAAAAGTGTGTTCGAATAGAGTTTTTGAACGAGTTTTTGGTTGCTTCTAAAGAACAGATTTATAGCAGATAGAACCCAAGGTTTTAGAGGAAAAAAGGTGTAAAAAGATTTCAAGTTAGGATCCATTCGTAAAGTGTATTCCGAAAAGTTTTGTATCGTTCCCAATTTGTATTTAAATTGTTGTTTATGAAAATGTTTTTGGTTTTTCTGGTAGTTTTCGATATTGCTGGGTTTCGATCTGTAAAGAAAACTCCGCTTACTTTGTTTCATTGCCATTGCGTGGCAGCAGCACGCTAGTCATGGCAGTCATGGCAGGCCTAGGGCGTAGGCTGGCCGCAGGAGCCGCTGAAGCGACTGAAGGCACAGGAACCACAGGAGCCGCATTGGCCGCGTTGGCTATCTTGCGGATGAACTCGTCCTCGCTGCAGGCATCGTCATTGTCCAGCTCCAGCTGGTTGCACTCGAGCTTCTTGCGCTTGATGTGCTTGCCACTGCTTCGAGCCAAGTTCCGCTGGTGGTGCGGCTGGTGCGGCTGGTGGTGGTGCTGCTGCTGCTGCTGCTGCTGCACACCCAATCCAGGATAATGAAATTGCTGTTGCTGTTGCTGCTGCAGTTGTTGCTGCTGCTGATGGGCAGGGGGCAGCTGATGCTGTACATTAAATGCCGACACGGCGGCTGCCACAGCTGCCTCGGTGGCCTGGAAGACGCCACCAAATGGATCAGCGGAGCTGTTGCCACTGCTGCTGTTGGCGCTGCTGTGATTGATGAGGCCCGAGTAACCCTCTGAGCTGGGCGTCGCCGAGCAAGACTGCGATGTGGAGGCAGTCGCTTCCTCCGAGTTCGAGCTGTCCAAGTCGTCCAAGTCGTCCAGAAAGGCGCTCAGCATATTCTTGGTCTGCCGCGATCTATACATACACATATACATATATATTTACATTTACATTTACAGTTACATATACGTTTACATATACATTCATAGCTTATGGCAACCCACACACACACGCATTGAGAGCGTGTCAATTTGTTCAAATTGATCGATTTCAATTCAAGTTTCTCCATATACATACATAATGCTCTCAGGTTCTCTTAATTGTTTCCTGAACAACAACCGAACCGAATAAACAATTCAAACAATATTTCTGCCTTAAGCTAGTTATGTTCTAATGTCTCCTTTGGTACTGGACTTCATCCGTTTCATTCTCTCTTGCTTATTTCAGCAACACAACACCAACGCCGGTACCGTTACCGTTACTGCACAATGAGCGACGAAGACAGTGGGGGAGAAGAGAGAGAGCGAGAAAGAGTACGTGCGTGGCTGCAAGGTGAATTTACATGGAAGGTGTCACTGTCCGCTGTGGGGATAACCCATAACATATTCACCACGCACTGAGAGACAAGCGCTGGAAAGGGCTAGAGATGGTGTTATTGGTCCCTATTGATTTGCTTAATCTGGCTTTAATAATGATCCAATCACAGTGCATTGCATACCCAAAAGTGGACTTTCTTCTTGGTCTTTCACACATCAAAATCCGCCACAAAACTCCTTTACGATTGGGTGGTATACAGAAGAGAAAGACTCTGAAATGATGTATCTCTGGTGTCTAGTTAAATGCCTAAATAACACAGCATTGGCAAAGCAATATAAAAATATAAATTATAATTTTCGCGGATATTTAAGACCTTTACTTTCGCTCATCCTATAAAAGAGATAGCTGTTATTTCTGCTACACTCCAAAAGGTATTATTTACTCTGTGAGTGACTAAAAGCAATGCTATTGTTCCTTTAAACTCGTCAAATAATTGCAAAAACATTAGTAGCAGACACTGCGTTCGGTTCCCGCTCAAATCGGGTGCAATAGAAGGCATCGCGCGAACTGATTGATAATTCTTATTTGTTATTATCAGCAGAGCAGAGCCAAGAGCAACAGTGCGTATAAGCACTCAACTCTAGTCGATCATTTAACAACCCAAATTCCAATGGCCAGAAAACAACCCAAATGTCATTGCCCAACGAATGTTTTGCGCTGACGGAGAGAAAAGAGAATTTTTTTCATGGAACTCTGGCCAAATGTATGTAAATTAAATTAAGCGCCAAAGAATGTGCAAATCAATTGGGTAAACAAACGAATGTAGGCAGCGCCCGTGCCAACGTACCGAAGGTTTTAGTACTCTAGAGTCTGGAACCAAGGGGCTAAGCAGAGCCAAAAAGTGCCCACATCAATTTGACAACATTTAAGAGATGGATGAATGAGAGGGGCAACCCCAAAATGGCAAATCTCATTCGATAGTCCGCCGGCTGCTATCTCTCCGCCGACGACGACTGACCGTAATTGCAGATTCTAAACTGCAATTCGCAATTGGAGGAGAGTTCATACAACTGATAAGCTGATAAGATAATACGGCAATTACACAGACAAGCATGCAGCTAGAGAGCAGCTACAAAAACAAAACAAAAACAAAACCGAGACACGAAGTAAACAAACAAACAACACTCTGGGCCAGCAGCCGAAACATTAAGTCGAAAGCTGAATCTAAGTCCGATGCGAGTCGAATCAAACTGAAAGCACACACACACATATAACACGACTAACAAGGGGAAAGACCTGTCCATGTAAAAGTCCTTGAAGCTGCGCAGTAGATTATAATTGTGCTGATAAGTTGCATGTTTGTAGGAAGAGTCAACGCGAATTTCCTTAAACCTAATCTCACTCTGTGTTCTGGTGGGTACACTTTTGGTTAACTTTAATTATACAAATACTTTGTTTAACCTACAGCAATCATAGGATTACATAAATATGAAATGAAAACGCGCTAGAATGGTGTCAAGTTTGGCTTCTTGTTGCCATTCAAAAACACAAACAATTCGTGAGCCTCCCGTGCTGGTATCGAGCTGTATATCGGACAACGTTTATTTAGTTTTGTTTTGAATTACTTTAACTGCAACTCAATGAGTGACCCTAAAGCCGTGTGGAAAAATCCTAAACGTTTTAGTTCATAAGTTTTACTCAGCTTAATCCAATGTTTTGGAACATTTTCACATTTTAATTGGAAGGAAAAATTGTATGGATAATCCAATTTGCTCACATGACAGCTGGAAAAGGTCAATAGCAGCTAATTTTCAAATTAAAAACTGATGCAAATTGTTTACGGGGCAAAGATAAGTATCAGTGCTGACAACGGCTTCAAATTTAGGAGACTATTTGCATTCAAAGTTGTCCATTTGCTATACAAAAGTGCATTATGTTGGATTCTAGTTATAGCTTCAATAGTTTGCTTTTATTTCTTGGTTTTCTCTGAGCTTGATCCGCTCTGATTTCACATTCTGCCCTCTTTGGGGGGGTTTCTCGATCTTAAATACACAAATTTGGGTCCTACACACATTCACTTTTAACACAAAACTTAAGGCTTCCCGTGCAGACTTCCACTTCACTCACATTAAAGACATGTCAGAACTCTGATTTGATATTTTTTGTATTTTATGTCGCACCAGGGATCGCTCTGTAGATCTACTTTGCTCTGAGGGCCAGACTATACTGAGGGCAGTGACAATTTTCTATCGAACATGCGGTGAAAATTATCCGAATCTCGCCGAACAAAATCCATACTTCGCTTGTAAGCCTGGACCCCCGTCTGCCCATTGCCATTTTCATTTAGCCATTTGTAGCCATTGGAGCTGCAGCACAAACATTTGCTCATGTTTCGGGGCGACATAAACAGGAGACTCCCAACGGCAGAAGGAGCTTAAATGCTCGTTTCATTATCCAAGAATTCTGATAAATTGAGAAGCCGCTGTAAAGCTGTGCGATAACTCAAATTTGAAACATTAAACATTATTTAATAATCCCAATCGAAGTTCTTCATTATAAAGAATACAAATCCTTAGTCAAAATTCATCTGAATTTTTAATATTTTGTCGATGTGGCTTTAAGATCTTTATGCAAATTGACAATATTCAAATAAGAATAAGAATTTAATGTGTGTGTGTGTGTGTGTGTGTGTGTACTGTGTTTTGGTGCTGTTTTTGTGAGCCAACAAATTGCATTCATTCTAATCGAAATTAAGAGTCAAACACAACAAAATGAAGTCATGAACTGGCAATTATCTCGAATTTTACATGCGCATGAACCAATGGACATAAAAGGGTGGGAGAGAGTGTGTGAGAGAAAGAGAGAGAGAAAGGGAGGGGGGGGGGAGCAAGAAGAGTGGAAGGAAGATCACGGACTCACCTTGATGCTGGTATTGCTCGAATTAAATGCTGCTGCGGTGAATGTTGCTGTTGATGTTGCTGCTGCTGCTGCTGTTGGTGCTGCTGCTGCTGCTGCTGCTGCTGCTGCTGTTGCTGCTGCTGTTGGTGGTGTTGCTGCAACGAGTTACTTGCCACTGCAGCTGCGGCTGCCGCTGCCGCAGCCACCACCGTGTTCGTCAGGGACGTGCTGTTCACCAGCAGATTCGCCCGCTGGACAGCACTCATGCCACTCATGCTGCTGCCATTCGAACTGCCGGGATCGGCTGCTCCTGGGCCAGAGGATGAGGATCGCAGCTCCGTGTGCTGGTCAAAGCCCAGACCACTGTCGTTCGAGTTGTCGCAAGGCGGCGGATGTGGTCGCTGTGGTATTCGCTTACCGGGAACTAGCTTGCCAGGACCCGCCTGCAAAAGCAAAAAGGCAACAGACACAATAAATAATAAAGTCAAGGAATTATCCTCTCAAAGCAGCCCTTAGCCACAGAAAATCAGCTTGTACTTTGGTGGTGTAAAACGTAACCTAGCTCGGCATGAAAATATTTAACACTTCTTTTCATTCAATGTAGTCCAGTTCCTTTTATTGGTACAGCAATTTCTGTATAACTTCCGAACTTTAATTATCCGAAATGTCTTCAAAATATTCTTCCCCGGCGTGATCCATGCTGTGAGGTTTGTTAAGAGATAACACAGTCCGAGGTAGCCAAATCGGTTGAAGCTTGTCCTCACTCTCTCAGGATAACTTTTCTATTGAAAAAAGCGACAGAAATAATACTGCTTGCACTCAGTCCTAATCCGTGTGGAGTCCGAGTCTGCTGGCTCGCGCATTTCTCGTATTTTTTGCGTGGAGGTGTCGTTTCGACCATCGTGACACTCTCCAAACATGTATATATTTAAATGTATTAAATCTTAAATAATATTTAAATGAAACAAATGGTTTTCCTTATGCAACATAATGCCCAATTTGATGCGCTGAAATGTTGTATGTCTTCCAATAAGAGCTACCGAAAAACATTTGTTTTCGAGCAAGGAGTTTACTTTTCACGCCACCTTGTGCATATATTCAGGGCAAACTATTCAAGCTTCAACAATTGTATAGTAGTTTTACCAATTAAAAACCCAAATGCTAAACTTTTAGCAACCCACAGCATAAGTTAACAATTTTCTTGAAAATGTTTTCAAGTTTCTTTTAAAACTTTAAGTTTAAAGACAGACAGGCTGTAACGACCCCGGGTATGAAAGTAACGCTAAAGTTAAGTAATTGTCAAGCGATTGGATGAAAGATTTAATTATCTTTTTGTTGAATTCTTACCCTAGTTATGGTGTGAAGTTTGCCTGGCAATCCCTTGCCCGGTTGTCTTTTCGAGGGTATACGAAAACCCTTGCGATGTATTCGGGCACTCATTGTGGAATTGGTGGACATCGTCATCCTCATGCCTATGGAAAGTGAATAAAAGAAACAAATAATATATTTAATGTGTATTATTAAGATAGAAATATGTGCCTGTGTACTTGTCTTGAAACATAATTTTAGATTAATTAAAAGGTAAAAGGAAATCTTTCGTATATTCTGATATTCGCAGCCGTTGCCCATGTAGACCCACCCACAAAGTGTCCCATCAAGCGCTTTATTTCCATACAAGTGCCACATATAAATATGTATATATGTATATATCGTACTTTGTTCATTGATATGTGTACAATGGAAGGGTGCTCCGGAGCAGTGCAGAACGAACATTGCATTGTCTGGGTGCTCCGCTCCGTGCCGTTCGTGGAGCTAAGTTACTGCCATGGAAACTGATAATGCCTACGGCTGCGGCTGCGGCTGCGGCTGCGGCTGCGGGATGGGTTCGGGTGCATTGAACTTCTTGCCAGTGCAGAACCTCATAGACTCATAGTCCGTATACATAGAATATTCCCCATGGTTTGCTGTTAGTTATGATTTTGGTTACTTTACTTTACTTGCAGTTGCAGTTGCTGGAACATCACTCATTGTTGCATTTCACACGATCTCTGTCTCTCTCTCTCTCTCAATTGATGCACAATTTCAGTTTCAACTGCGTTCGTTCTGAGACACCATACTCATAAGAGTTCTATATAAAAAAGTCTGAAATATAAAAATACATACAGACACAAGAGCAGCCGAGAGCAGAGCAGAACAGAGCTGATAAAAGTGCCAGGGAGGCCGCCGGTCCAGACAAACCCCACAAAAACAGAACGTACCCCACTAACATTAGCAATCTCCAGCAATCTCCCATTTTGTCTTCTTTTCTACTCCACCATATTTGAACATGTATTTTTTCTGTACAATTCTTTGTTTATCCATTCAATAAACACACACAAAGTAATTGTTTTGTTTTTTTTTGGTTTGGTGAGCATTTAATTAAATTGCAAACTCATTGGCAAATACATTTCGCTCACTTTTTAGGCAGAGAATCTTCAAAATGCAATAATGCGTTAGTGATGCGACTTTATCGGATAGTTTTGGAATCTATTCGAACCACGAACCACTACACTATAGAAGTGGTATTCGCGGCGATCAATTTTAACTCGGATTCCAGCGAGATTTCAGGCAATATTTTATAGATATTTTGCATTAATGTCTCTCTTGCTGGTTGGTAGTTTTCTTTCAATTTAATTTAAGCAGCTGCCTCATAATAGTTACATCTAGTTTAATATGTTACAGAAAGACTTCGTGGAAGAACTTTTCTCATTTTGCTCATTTAAATTCAATTTAGAGCCATAACCCACCAGCCAACCAAATCGATCTATTTCGCACCCTTTTATCCACTTGCCTAACCTTGAGTGGAAAGCAAATAAATCAATGTTTATCTGTGGGCTTGCGGAACACGCCTACCCAGTAAACCAAAAGAATCGAGCCTTAGAGACAGCAAGGGAGGAGGTAGTTGTGGGTTCGACAGCGATAAGATCCCACAATGGGAGAGGCTAAGCGCACTGATACACTCATGACTGATAAATGTTCAGACATATGTAAGTACGTAAGTCGATGGGCTGGAAAGATAGCCGGTAGATGCTCAAGAGATATGGTAATCTATGATATGATTACCATCATCAATGCCCCCCAGAGAGCTGCATATGTGAGCAGTTAATGTCGATAAAAGATTGAGGGGTGATGAATATATGTAGTGGAGTCGTCTTTGCTCACATTTCAACTTCCCATTCAACGAATTCTGTTGGGCTGTGCCGCAGCTAAACACAGGTGTGGAACAGACAAGCCATCGATCGGATGCTCGTAGCACGAACTTATGGAGAGACAGTTGTTTTCTGAAGTTCTGGATATCTATAATTAAACGCAGACTCCCCCACACAGAAATGACTGACTGGGAGAGAAATTAACCAAAACAGATTGTCAATAAAGTAAAAACAACAACAACAAAATACATACGATATATTATAGAATGAAGTGTATTGAACCCATCTGACCCAATGTGGCCTGGCCCCAGGTAAAGCCCCACGCGATGATCCAGGAACACTAATCGGAAGGACAATTACAGCGTTCTTAGATCCCAATCATTCTATGCATGTATTTATGTAATTTTTTGTTGCTCTTGCTCCTACTTTGGCTTGGCTTTTGTTTGGTTGTTAGGTTGTTTTTCTTCTGTCGCGACTGGCGCGTAATCTTATCGCCCCGTGGGCAAACCCAGCAACTGGCGAAAACTTTCGTTAACGAAGCCAAATTAAGCGCTGGAGCAGAACTTGAATCATCAGCGACAACGGGGCGCCGCTTCTTTTGGCAATTGACTACCTCGATTTGCTAGATCTGCGTGCGCCACATACATAAATATTTATGTATGTATATCGATATCAAGTGCTTTATCTCATGTTATCGCTGAGACGAAACTTGATTTGGCGACAGCTGAGACAGCTGAGATGGAACAAAACGTACTTCAAAATGTATTCTACAAGACAGGTCGCCTTTACAGGAGGCCACGCGACGCTGCCAGCTCAACTTGAACTCATTCATGCCGTACCTCTTTAGGTTTCCATAATTTCCAATTTTTATTATCAGACATGAGGCACCATGGAGCGCTTTCCTTAGGCAACGAATGCAATAATATAAAATGTGTTCACATCAGTGACATGCAAAACGGCACGACACAGACAACGCTATTGTATTGCTAGCTGATCAGTGTTCTCTATCCTCACGAGATAGGGCCCATGCCGGCCACGGGTGAATCTTTTGATATCGCTCTCTTACCGAAGTTGCTTTTGTAATGGTGCTGGTAGGCCTGTATATTGTTGTTTCCTGTGTTGTTGTTGTTGTTGTTGTTGTTGTTGTAATGGTGACCATAGTGATTATTGCTTGTGTTGTTACCACCTCCGCCAGCACCCCCACTGGCAGCAGCACCGCCAGTGTTGTTATTGCCACCACCACCACCACCACCACCACCACCACCATGGTGCTGATGATGGCTCAGATTGTGCATCTTGGAGGGAATCCGGTAGCCCGACTCATAGTGTTTATACTGATTGTAGGTGAAGCGCATTGTGGGTGTGGAATATCTTTACTGCTGCTGTTGCTGCTGCTGCTGCTCGCTCTCTTGCGGTAATCTTGGTACGTTCTGCATTTGCCGCCTCTCTCCCGATCTCCCGATCTCCCGATCTCCAGCTCTCCTGCCTCTCGTTCTCTTTTTTGGATATGTGCTCTTAATGTACACTATAATTATGTGCGTAGGCATAGATTGATCGTTTTTTGGTAATAATTGTTGGCACGTTTTTTACTTATTTTTCTTATTTTTTTGTTGTGATTTAGTCGTTAGCTAATTTAGTTGTGTTGATTAGGAATTTATTTGGCATTTCATTGAAGTTTCTTTGTACATTTATTGTTTGTTCTTGATGTTTCTGGTCAAATTTTCTACAATCAAAAAATGTGCGCGGTTGGTTTTGGTTTCTTGTTCTGGTTTTCTGGTTTTCTGATTTTCAGTTGTTGTCCGCACGTGAATTGTTTCGCGGGAAAAACGCACACGAAGAAAAAAACGCGCCGAAAACACCCGAGGTGTTGAAGACTCTTCAACAGGTCCGCCGTCGCGTCGTTCAGGACGTTTTGTATCTTTACAGGCTGACTTTTACTCCGATGCGTACATATTTCCCTTTGCATGGATTTTTTTTAATCGCGAAGCCAAAGTCCAGGCTCGGAGCAGGCGCGCCTTAAGTGCACTCTCGGCTCTGGCTTTCTGTGTCTGTCTGTTCCGAAACTTGTTTCCTTTTCCCTTGTGCTGCAGTGGAGTGGAACCTTGAAATGTTTCCGCTGGCGCTTCCTAGTTGCTCCTAAATTAACAGTTACACCGCAGCAGAACTGAAACGGGTTTCTCTTCCCTTTTGCCAGAGGAAGAGAGTGGCAACAAAGGGCAAGGTCGCTGTGGATGCGCGCCTTCTTTTTTTTTGTTGGTGTATCTTTTCTCTGTGCAGCAGCTATGCAACTCGGTTGGTTCTAGGTTCTAGACTCAATCCACAGCAAAACCCCCCCTTCTCAACACCGATTCAGTGACACAGATAGTGCTGCTCTTCCCTTCCCCACCACCACCATTCACCGCCAGACCTACCAACCTGCCAGACCAGATTTGTTCTAAAGTTTTGTTCGTTTTTGTGTAGTTTTTGTTTTACAATCAAATGCCAGGTTCTTAGCTTGATTAAATGCTAATTGAAAAATGTACGGGGTTCAGCACGCCGTCTTACATATGTATATGTACAGAAATATGTACAGAAATATGTAAATATGTATTTGAAGTGCCGTTGGCTTTGTGAAAAAACTTGGTCTTTCTTTCATTGACCCACATTTAAATCAAAATAAACTCTCTCATTTGATCTGGTTTGAAAGGGAAGGAACGAACCAGGCTTTGATGGAGGAACTGTCATTCTTTATAATGAAGGGATACAAAAATGTGTCCATGCGGGTACAAAGGAAGGCTTAGCGAAAAAAGAGAAAAGGGCTGCCCGTTCTACGACTCCCAGTACAGAAAGAGAGAGAGAGAGAGAGGGAGAGTCACCAAGTCTCTATCGAATAGAGCGATTGCGATTAGTAGTTTCAATCGATTGGTGGTCTTCATTCCCCTCAATAAACTACAAATTAAAATCTCTGGTTTCTGATAAAGGCGATGGAAAAATAATTAACTAGGAAATCTGTCTGTATTTTCAAGGACTTGATTGACGGAGCACGAGTGTGTTGCCTCTGGTAGGGTTTCGGTCCGGTTGGATCCGGCGTGGGTGTCTCGGGAACTCTTTCCCTCTCTCCCTGCCCACTGGCCGCTTGCTCTCCGGAGTTCTCGGCCTCTGGCAAAAGGCGATAAGATAAACACGCGAACACGCCGGAGAGACCACTTTTTATCTGTACCACAAACACGATCGGCACGGCACTCCTTTAGAGAGTTTTTAAATGGAAATTGATTTCCTTGCACACTGCCTGGAGCCAAGCGGGG